GAAGGGCTGCTCACCGTGGATTCTCGCCATGTTAATATCGTCACGATTTAATGTATCATGGAATTTATTTAGGATTTTTTGGGAATTATGCCGCGCCTAAAAATGTGTAATTATGTTCTTCGATGTGGGACGAGCGGTATGGAGGTTTTCTATTTCTTTCCTCGCTTCGCTACTTAGATTCCCATGGATGACTGGTTCTCCATGCCGAGAATATCCGTCTATGGGAGTGACGGAGGCGTCCGTACTTTTCATTTTGAGATTTCCACGCGGGTCGTATTTCGTAGCGAGCGCCGAACTTCCGGCATTCATTTCCACGGAGCTGCAAATCTCGAAATGAGAGGGAGCAGTCAGGCCTAGAGACGTGGAACGTGGCAATATCTCTCCAGGGTGCTTTTGTATCGGGGTTATATTGGTAATATCGGGAATAGCTCTCCATTCGTGGCGGTGACATGCACATGCGCCTTTCCGCATTTATGCCCGCAAAGAGGATCGGCTTCCGGATCGCGGAAAGCCACTCCGGCCAATCGCTCCGGGGTTTACCGATATTAATCACCCCTCTTTCGATACACTTTTCCACCGGTTGGCAATCTCCAAATTTCGAACACCGAGCAATAATCCCCGGTGCGTTCGAATTTCTTTCTACCGGGTTGAACATTCGCAGGAAATTGAAATCCCGACGCCCTCGGGCAAAAAGTGCGATCGAGAAGAAATATAATAATTCCTTCGGGAGGAGATTTAATTATATACCATAGCGCAATCTCAACGATAGGGACGTATCCATATCTGGATTTTTTTTCAGGTTCCTGTAGAATGGAACTCATATCGGCCGTTTGCGGGCAGCAAACAAGGAGTCTCCCGACGAAGTTGTTATAGAGGGGTCCGAGTTTAACGGGGAATCAGGAAATCCTGGAATTCGATTTCCCGATTCCCTACTAGCTTGGTTTTTCCATCAATAGCGACCTCGAGGAGGGAACGCCAACGTGGTGGCAAGTATCGCGCTGGTACTGGCGTTACAGGGTATTGATTTCCCCGGTACGATACGGCAACCCCGAGGTGGAGCTAGTGCCGCTCCAGGAGGCCGCCATATTTGTTTCTCTTCCGAAAGCTCGACTGCGGAAAGCGAGCTTTTTCCGCGAGGAACTCCGAGGACCAGCCGCCAAATCAGAGTGAGTACCGTCCTCCCCTTTTTAGACCTCTTTTTCTTCGGTTCGGCGACGTCGAAAGCTCGCCTCGCGAAAACCGCAGCGGAAAAGCTCCTTTCTCCCCCGAGCTGTCAGTCCGCTCTGTCGCATGCGGATGTCCCACACACTCGTGTAAACAATAGCCTGTCCTCTCGACAGGTGGTCATTAGTTACCGTCATTTGTCTTGCGATCGGAAAAACGGAGCGACCGGCGATTATCCTGGAGGAATTTTCCAGGACTTTAATTCAAGGGAGACTGCAATTCAAAAGGTGACTCCTTGGTACCCGAAGTGCACCTGTATTTACTTTGTGAGAGTGACAGTCTGCAGCTGCCGTAAACACGTGCCATACGTCATTAAGTTACCTGTTAATAAGAAAAATAATTAAGAATACGCGCTGCCCCTTTGTTGCGGAAATTTATCCGGAAAACGGGGTGAACCTCTCGACGTTGCGAGACCTCGATGGAGAAACTGTGAAATTTCTTCCAAGAAGAATTTGTGAAAATTGAGTCGAGGGTGTTTTTTATATCTAGGATCGAGGTCCGTCAATTTTGCGATTCCTGTGTCCTTATTTTGTTCCTTGTCTAGACCTTTGCAACTATTTTCATCCCTTGAGTGCTGCTCACCCTGATAACCATTGCGTCTCATTTTTCTCTGTGTACTGAAGACCTCGAATTTTAATAAGGGTCGTTTTTGGAAGGATTAACGAAACATCTATCGATTGTTGCGATCGAGTTCGGGATTCGAGATTCAGGGGTGGTGCATTCGAGGATTCTCCCGAGGGAACCGTGCAGCATCGTGATTATAGCGAGGAGAGCATTTAGGGGATGATTCCGGCCCCTGCGGTACATCTGTCTTCGTTCTAGACAACGATTCTCGACTCCGTTGATTCCTCGCTTAAAGTACCGTAATTATAGAGAAATTCCCCGGAATATCTGGAGCGCGATAAATCAAGCATAAGTGATAGCCCGGTAGTAATCCGTCGATCAGTTTTCCGCTCCGTCAGCTCTTCAAGGCTGCATCAAGGAAACGTGGACTCGTTTCCCGCTCGAGCTGGCCATCGATGGGATCCTAATAAAACGGAAATGATAATTCTTCCCCGACTTGCACAACTTATCGTTTCGAGGCAACCGAAATTCCCAAGAAATGTGTATTTCCGGGGGTGAAATCTGGAGCGGACGCGCTCGTAGTTGCGAAACATTACTCGGTACCAATCAATACAAGACCGCTGCCAAAAATGCATACATTGTAGAAAACGAGGTGCTTAAAGCCAGGACTTCCATTTCTCAACAAATTAACCCAATTATTCGGTGAATAATTTAGATTCGCGGGGCAAAGGAGATCCCCGCGCGGCGAAGGATGAACCAGGAGAAGAATTGCCGGTAAAACCGAGCACTTAGAGAACTTACCTCCTGGGCGATATTTCTGAGCCTGCGATGGAAATAACGCGCCCAGCAAAAGCACTCGTTCCCTCACCTGGGAATCGATCACCTGAGCCTGAATAATTCAGGGGAAAAAACCGTCCGAATGGGCAACTTTTCTCCGCGTTTGACGCAACCCCTGTTTCAGTAAACGGATAATCGATACTCGATTCAGTGCTGGATCGAGCCGATGTACACCTTAATAATTTATTCCCCGTCCGAATTGTCCCTTCCCCAGAATAAGAAAAATCACCCCCGAGGAATTCCTCTCTAACCCTCGAAATCGGAATTAAATAAAAGATCGGCGCTTGCATCCCCCCGAAAGGCGTCTAAGGGAGGACTCCAGAGTACGATTGCCTCGAAAGTCGCAAAAATTTAATATGAATCGATACCAAGGGTGACTGCCCCAATTCTTGAGTGCAGCCATATGGAGGGGTGTGTGGAGGTTTTCCGTGAAGAATATTCGATATTGGGAGGGCACGCGTGCCATAAAGTGGCACGAATGCGGCGCCACCCCGTCTGAGAGGATCGCTCGATAAAAGCTGCGTTACGTGCTAAATATGCCGAGCTTTATCACATACGACGAGCTTCCCCATCGAATCGCATCGGGCGCCGCGACGACATAATTTGCCGTATCGACGCATTACCCCATCCCCATGAAGGATCGATCTGGAGGTCGAGAAACGCCGATCGAACGCTCCCGCTGCAATCGGCGAGTTGCAGCCCGGCTGCAGCGGTGCAGCAGGTGCAGCAGGTGCATCGGGGGCATCGAGGCCTCCCTGGAACGTATTAAAAGAAACAGTGTCCGCATAAAACTTTACAATCCCCTCGACGGTCACCTCGCCGTGACCCAGTTCGGCAGCGCAGCGTGGATTATTCATGATTTTACGGGAAGTCGGAGCACGAGGTGCAATTCGGCGTGAAATCGTTTCCCGGCGACGTCGCCTTTCTGCTCATTAATGGAGGGGCGATCGATCGAGGAGCGATGAAAGAGAGCGCCGATAGATTTCTAGGCTAAGAGTTTCCATCGTGGGAAAAAGGCGCCGACGAGACTCATCGACCACGTCCGACGTCGTTTCGCGTATATTTTTTTTTTTTACAACAATTGATAAAGCGATACTGTACACCTTGATAGGGCCGATAAGGTCGACCAATGGGAGGAAATCGGCGCGAACGTCCGTGCCATGTCGGCCTCGATTTTCCGGAAATGCAGAGCCTCGATAGGCCGCTATTTCCAGCCAACCGAGGTATCTTTACCGCACATCGAGCGGCAACCAGTGCTCATAAATAGCCATCATGACTGTCGATCCTCGAAACCGTTTCCTCCTATCTCCAGCTCGAGTCGGAGCTATTCTACTTGGCAGGGGGTCGATACCCATAAAAGCCTCGTCGTCGTAATTTTTAACCCGTACCAGCCCGACGATAGTCGAACATGGGGTCCAATGCCCCATGGGGCGGCACTTCAATCGGACCTGGAATCGCCATTAATCGGCGAGTCCGGCAACTTTTCCTATTACTTAGTTTCCCCCTATTTGCACTTCCCGATTGCCGAAGTCTCGCAAGGAAGTTGGGCAGAGAAGGTCCAGGAGGTCCTGGGGGAACCGCAGACGCGTGGAGAACGGGAAGGACCGGTCGTAGGGACGACCGAGCTCGGCGTAACCTTTGACCCAGTTATTCGGGCTCGGCGTCAATGGGATGCTCCCCCGTAGCGGAGTCACGTGGTCCGGTGCGTGGGGAATTGGGGCATCCGATTGGGCGGGGCCCCCGAGTAGGCGGCAACGCCGCAGCTCGGGAGCGCCACGCGCAAAGGCGCCGACTCCACTTTTTCCGGGACCCGAGAGGTCTTCGGATGGGGTCCATTTTTTTCCATCGTGATTCCAAGGGCTCAGAAAAACCATGCCGTGAAAAAAAATTCCATATTCCTGAAAGAAGGAACCCTTTCTTTCGCCCCCATAATTATATGAAACTCCTCGTTCGCGACGCGACTAAATTGGACTTGGACTAATTCGGAGTCCTGGAACACGTTGAATTTTAAAGGAAAGCTCGATGAAGGAAAATACGTTCGTCTCTCTTTGACGGGACCCTGGAGTTGCTCTCCCCAGGGGGGAGGAGGGCTCGTCGGTGACGTCACTGCGGCAAGGCTGGTCTCCTTGGCTTATCGAGCGGGTCGGCCGCGAGGGTGCGCGCGCATAGGGTGGCCCATTGCGCGCGCAGGTCGCTCGGCTTCCGCGTACGGTCGTCTCTCGGGCTCGGGCCTAAGGGGTCGTACCGGAGGGTTGGACTCGTCCTGTGGCGAAAAGGCCGTTCCGCGCTCGGGGGTGTCCCGAAGATGTGAGCCGGGGTCGTCGTCAGTTCGGGGTGCGTACCCTAGGTCCGACCGAGCGAGTCTCGCGGCGACCATGCCGAAGCAGGTACCGGTGGAGGATCTGGTGATACCGCCGCAGGACGGCAAGATATGCGGGACGATCTGCATCTGCCAGATGACGGCGGTGCTGTCGTCGGTGGCGCTGGTCTACCTGACGGTGGCCATCTATATGCCCAGCACGCGCGCCTTCCAGTCGGGCATCAGCGAGGTGCCCGTCATGTGCACCACCACCAGGGCGGTCAACGTGGACGTCTGCGACTGGGGCAGCTGCGGTGAGTGGTGCCTGTCCAAGTCCACCGGACCCTGCCTGCAGATCTACGTGAACCTGCGCCGAAACGGCAGCACGATCCTCCTGGCGAACTGCACCAACACCGCCAACAAGACCTGCTACGGCATCGACCAGGAGAACGCGAAGAAGTCCCGGTGCATCGCCGACGACTGCCGCAACCTGACCGGCACCTTCAACTGCACGGCCGGGGAGTGCATCAACATCACCGACGCCTTCGAGTGCGTCTTCAGGGACACGGACCCGCCCCTCAAGTGCTCCGGTAGACGCGGCAAGATCACCTGCATAGACATAGACGGGCTGTTCAACTGCAACCGCGGCACCTGCGAGAAGATCCGGACCCCCTACAACTGCGACCGGCGCTGCGTCGACATCCCCACCAGGAACAAGAACGTGATCCTCCTGAGCGGGGACAAGGTGTACCTGAGCCAGTGCGAGCGAGCCATCGACGTGGAGACGGAAAAGGAGATCTGGAACGAGGACCGCGGGGACGTGATGATGGCCTCCTGCTACGGCATCTACAACACCAGCCTGGGGGTCGAGGCGGAGGACTGCATCAACGGCTCCGTCCTCGAGAAGAACGTCCTCACCGACCTGACGAACTTCACCTACCTCACCTACCTGAACCTCTACGTGGCGAAGCCCTTGGACGAGACCAGGACCGTGGCCCCGCCCGAGCAGGACCTCATCATCGCGAACGAGAGCAGACTCATGATCAACCTCGAGGGGTGCGTCAACACCTTGAAGGACGAGTGCAAGGAGTTCCTCCACTCCTACGGGAAGGACGGCACGGACCACAACGCCAGGGCCAGGTTCCCCTGTTTCTACGCCGAGAGCAACACCGGAGTCGTGGTGTCCAGGTTCGACTTGGAGACCACCTACAAGGAGTTCCTGATCGCCTTCATACTGCCCAGCGTCCTCTTCGTCGTCAGCTGTCTGACGCTCATCCTCTGCCAGCGTACCGTCGTCGTCGGCGACGACGCCAAGATGAGGTTCAAGGGCTCCCCGGGTGCCCTGGTCAATATCGAGAAGAGCGCTTCCGGCAACCTCGGGGATGCTGGGGGAGGAGACTCCATCATGGCGCTCTGAGATCCGTCACGTAAGAGTCCGTTCATGGCTCCTTCGTGACCTCGATAAATCAGCCATTTCCTCCTTTTCCCCCATATTCCTCTCCTAGGGAATTCTCCCCAGGGATAATGGAATTTCGAACAAAGGGGCACCCTTGTGCGCAGGATCCGCTTTTCTTTGCCAGGACCCTTTCCAGAAAGGTTCCATCATCGAATCTTCGATCTCTCCCGAAGGCCCTTCCTAGCCGTCACGTTTTCAAGGCCGATCTTCAAGAGATCGTTGCAAAGTTTTTGCAAAGTCGATGGATCCTGATGCCACTGGTGAGGTCCTTCCCTGGAGCCTCGTTAAGGGAACCCAACGTTCATCAGGGTTCCTTCTGTACATGCTCTTGAAAGTTTACCTGTCACCTAATTTTCCCACATTCCCCCGTGATCGCGGATGTGCAGGAGGATCGGTAGATCCTGGTAGCCAGCGAAAGCGCAAACTCAAGGCCCTTTGGTTTTCTGTTTCAGGCATTCCCCTCCTGGAGGAGAGTCCGGCACGTCAGTCGATATTCTCCCTACGCGGGCACTACTGAGGTGTGGGGAGGGGGGGAACGCGTGGCATACAATTCTTATATACAATACACAACCACTGCAAGGAGGAGATTTTTCTGATCGCACTGCCCGCACATTCGAGGATAAAAAAAAGCGCTTGCAGGGAACCGAGGTCTCGCGCTCGTCGAGGATGCCGATGGGGAAGGACTCGCGAGCGATTCCCAAGGATCGGCGCACGAGCGAACTGGCATCCAAACCAGGACACGGTCCAGCGTATTTTGCATAGACACGCACCTACGATATATCGCTCTTTCTCTCGCCCCGTCACCCCAGCTCGTAAAACTCGCGTCATTGGCCGCTCGCAGGCCTTTGACGTCTCTTTGATACACCGGCCATATTGTAACGCATACGATTAGCTAGAAATCACGCCAGCGGGAGAGGAACATCCCAACGCGATAGCGAAGGCACGTAATGATCGACCAGGGAAGATCTTCCCTTGACTGAGGGTCGTCCTTGGATCGAGGAGGCTGACCCGGGCAGGGACCTCTCCGGTGTTGGGGATTTTGGATGATGATCCGCGATGATCTGAGGGTCCTCGCGGATCTGTAAGCAGGGGAGACGGAGGTTGCGGTTGGTCGGAATTGCCTGGAAGTTTGGAACTTTGGAACTGTCAGGGGTCCTCGGACTCCTCGGTACGGCCCCATCATTGACTCCGACGAGGGCACGGTGATCATGGGAGCCCAGGAGGGCGAGGTCAAGTCAAGCACTGCTGGCGGTGTCTTGCCAGTTGTCGAGGTGGCCTCGCTGGTGGAGAAGGCCAAGTTCTACACGTCCTTGTGTCTGGGCACCACCGCCATCCTCGCCGTCTTCGCCTTCCTCTTCCTGATCCCCTTCGTCGTGGAGCCGGCGATTTCCACCATCCTGGCCGACTTCTCCCCGCACCCGGTCGCCTGTGTCACCACCGAACACGTCTACGCCGAGGGACTCAAGAACTGCTCCTGGTCCAGCTGCAGGGAAGGTTGGTTGATGGGCACTGAGATGAGATGTGCAAATCCTTGAAACTGCTTACACCGTTCAAGCGGCATTTCGGGGGTGCCTTAATTAATGCACCTTGCTCTCCACTCCTGCATTCTAGGGTGCACCAGCGCCGCGCTTCGCTGCCACCAGATCAGGGTAAATTATTCCAGGGTTGCCTACGAGGAGTTCGTCACGAAGCCACTTGGCTCCACTTCGTGGGACGTGGCTGATACCAAGTTCTTCGTCAACACCGAGGGCTGTGGCTATCCTCCGGGGGTGAACTGCTCCGTTTTCGCCAAGAAGTATGGCCGCGGGAACATGGGGAAGATCTTCCCCTGTTACTTCAGCAGGACGCATCCGGAAACCGTGGTTGCCAGGTGAGGTACCAAGCTACCTGGTAGCTCTAACGTGTTCGACCCCAATTGCGCGTATCGATTTTCTCCAGGGATAATGACTACTCTCTACGTGACCATCGATCGCTTCCTAAGCCTTGGGGAATTCCCTCCCTCGGTCCCTTCTGGACAGGGAACACTGGACAATATTCATTATCCGTACAGGGAACAATTAGCAGCGAAGGTGGAAGGTACATTTCCTGACGTGTCTTTAATCCTTTCCAGGTACTCTTGGGACGAAAACCTGAGACACTTGGTCCTGGCCCTGGTGGTGCCGATCGTTTTGTTCGCGGTTTCTCTGGGGGTCCTTTGCTACTGGTATTGTCCAACTGTGGGCAAATCCTGCGGAGGATCGGGGAGGAACCTGATGGAGAAGTACGGCCGGAAGGAAGAGTAAGTAACGTGTATGTATGCAGTGCCCTGTGGCTAGATGACCTTTCGATCTCTCGAATTAATGGAATTACTTCGGGCCCATCATCGAATCCCTCTAACCGTGTCCGACTCCACTGGAACCTTGACTACTCCCTCAAAGTAGATCTGGCACGTCACAACTCCGCCCATGAATTTTTTTCAATTGAGTTACCTGCACGCTTTGGTTCCTCCTTATTGAAGAATTATAAATTATTAAATCATTTATTCGTTAGATCTACCACTGAATCATTAATTGCCATTTCTTGTTTTCACGGCACGTCCTCGTTCGAATCTCGAAGTAGTTCCTGCACGTAGCTAGGGGTGCCATTGGGTGGAGGCATTAAAACCGAATCGATTTTCAGCATTTTAGGTGAAGATGACTTCGAAGAGGACGAAGAGGAGTACTGACTGCTACCAAGGGCTCACCCCCCCGCTCGGGAGTGACGCCGAAAGACCGTAAAGGCGATGTAGTTCGCTTTACATCTCGAATTTAACACCGACGATTACTCGACGAATCGAAGCCCTTTCTACGCTACGTTTACGTCAGACCATAACCGTGCAACTTACGCTAAAATGATTCCCAATCGTCGCGCCTCGACGTTTGTAACAAGTGCACTTGACGCGGAGTTACGCAGGGAAGTGGCGACTCCATTTCGGAGGCTGACTCGAAATAGGGATATGCGTTCCGGGATATTAATTAGCAGCGAGATCGATCATCAAACGTAACCCGTGGACCCGCCACCGTCTTCGGTAATAATTTCGCACGTGCCTAATCGATCGTTTACTTGGATTCGTGTAAAGTAAACTGGACCGTCGTCAGCTCGGACTCAATCATCTACCAGTATTCCAACTAACGTTTTAACGCATATATAAATATTATTACGCATACGCGATGTAGGCGCGCCTTCCTATTAATTATTAATACCGATCGAACACTTAACGAGGTAAGAGCGGTACGCGCAGCTGTGGATAGCTTCGAGGAGGAGTTCTTTCGTAACTCGATCGCATTTAAGCTGCCCTTTCAGCGCTAAGTCGATAATAATTAATTCGTCGGGGAGGATCTCGCGAGGGGATCCTGTCGCACGGATCGAGGAGTGTAATTACCGCCCTTCCATAAATTGCAGGTAAATTTGGGGGAATTTCCGGCAGAGCGGCGGATTTATTTCCTGCGACAGGGATCGCTCGGTGGTCACTCGTAGCTCGTAAAATAGGCTAAGTTTTGCCTGTGAATATTCTTAGGGTCGGTATAAGATTGTTACCATTTTTGTACGTGGGTGCCTAAGGCGCCGTGGTTGTCGTTAAAACGCACTCCGTAGAGGTAGGGTGGTTTTCAGTTAAGTTTTCAATGGGGTCTCATGAGATGTGATCCGTACGCTTTGGATTCGTCATTCGTGTCTGGTGAGAATCTCGCTAAAGAGATTTTCCATTGGCTCTTCTTCCTGCAGCGAATTATAAAACGATTTTTGGAAGGGGTGAGTGTAGGCTCGTTTTGCAGATTCAATGGACGTTAAATGGGTAATCGTTGGCACGATTTGCGACGCCAAAGTGTACGGAGGCCGCATGTCTGCCCATACATCTAGAATGGTTGTGAATCATTACTCGGCCTTGCTCTCGGGATCCGTCTCGAGGTGAACCTCCGTTAAGGTCTTGGAAGCACTCGACTAGCTTAGACTCTGCGTTTCTGCAACCCTTTCCCTAGAGGCTCGGAGCTGGTCTCTTATCTCTTAACGCGCATAATCCGTAGATAGGGAATTACTGGAAAATCTCTAAATTCTGCCCCGCGCATCGTAACGTGTACGGGAACTTTGCTCAGAGGCGCAGACTCCATACCGAAACATTCCTTAATGACGAGTCCCTCGTGGAATATTAATCTCTCGAATAGAAGGTGGAAGAAAAAAAAGAATCTAGGGAAAAATAATACTCGACGTATGTAATCCGTTATATCTATTCGCCCCATGGAAGCCTGTTATAGATTCCATGGGGGGATCGTTGTTAACCGAACCGTATAAATTCTACCATCACGCCTCCCTATATGCATATATTTTCACACCGATGAATCAATTAATAATCGACTAAATATTAACTCGACGTGGTTATAGGAGATAAAATATGATTAACACGGAACTCGTATAACCCTTGTGGAAAAGAAGCGACTCTCGACTATTACTCCATTCATTTACGTTTCGCTAATTCTAAGGTCGCGTACACTTGTACAGATGATATATCATGCTCGAAATCCGGTGAAAGAAATATCGTTAACACCGTGTCGACAATCCAAGAACCACGGAAACCCCAGATTATGTTACGGGAACGTCGGTGCTGCCCGAAGGAGCATTTCGGCATCTCGGTAGCTCTTCTTAACCGAAACTTTGCCAGTCAAATCGGACATTAATCTCGTACCTAGAGGGGGTAGTTGAACTTCTCGTGCGTAGCGTGAAACGTGATAAGTTGACACGTTTCCTCGATTTCGAGGACTTTAAGTACCGAGCTCAAAAGCGACGTTATCAGAAATTAGAAAACGGCCCTTGTAGGCAACCCGCTGATACGCGGTGGTCGCAATAATTTCGGCAGATTAGGGTAATCGAATTGAATCAAAGTAAATAGGTATGATTTCTACGCGTACAAGCTTTTAGCTTTTACATGACGTGGCGTGGAAAAGGACGAAGGAAGGACTCAGGATCGGCAGTGCCGACCGCGATTGCTCTCGTTTTTCTCCACCCCACGTAAAAAATATGCCTTTATGGGACGCGAGCGAGTAATTAAACTATTCTTTCCGTGCGTATTCGCATTCGTTACGTGTGCTCGTGCCCGGACTTTTGCAAGCTTCATTACTACTGACAATGTAGGGCGAAAGTTCTTCTCATACGCTTCCTTTATCTAAGTACTTGGGTCCTTCTCTTTAAGAGGTTATCGAGCGGTTGCTAAGCGTTTTCACTAAAACTTGCACGAAGGGGATATTAATTAAATGTAGGAAAACTAGGAATCAATTAGACCTGGGAAAAATGCCTATGGAAATATTAAAACAAGCTGTGCCCAGCGACTCGTTATCATTCCGTGGGATTCAGGTGAAAGCTTATCAGCCGCTCGTCCGCGCAAGCTTACTCGTTCACCGATACTGCAACTAATTCTCAAAGCTGTACATATGATAAAAAAGACGACGTAAGTACGCATACTTCTCAGTAACTATTGTAAATACAGAATATACTGTACGGAACAGGTTGGAAATAAAGACCATCAATTTTTCTGTTAATCACCTTTTCTTATCGTCGACCTACTAGTATTTGAAAATTCACCCTCGCCCCATAAATCAGCGATTTAAAAAAAATCTCCAACCCAGCAGAACAAAATTCGAATATTCATCGATTGATGGAAAATATACGCAAATTATTATCAATTTGGCATCCTGATAAGGGACGATAACGGGGAATAATTTCCCAGAAAATTTTGGAGAAGGCGAAGGAGAAAAGCTCCGACTTTCAAGATGGCGGCGTAGAGTGGAGTATGCAAAGCCTTGCGGGGAGCTTTCGTCCTGCGAGGAGCTTTTTACTCTCTCGACTCGGCCCGACTACGTCGCAGCCAACCGCTGCGAGCGGAAGCTCCTTTGGGGGGTCCTTACCGCGCATGCGCGAGCCGGCCCCGAGCTTATATACGTAGAAGCGAGCTTGTTTTCAAACAGTTCGGAGTTGCGGGGGCGCAGTGGTTAGGAGCTTGCGAAAGCGCCGCCCGAAGATGCTCGACCGTGACACGGTGGATCGCGAACGATGGACGGAAATGAGAGCGAAGTGCCGTTTCCTCATGGTGGCCGTCTGAAAAAGCTCGAGGGCTTCGATCGGCCCTAAGCTTTTACTATTCATGAAACGGATACGCTGACCCCGTAAAAAATAGTGACGCGGTGCTGGCCGGCACTTCGCTTCGACGAGCAACGTCCGATTCTTCCCGAGCTTCTTGGATGGGAGCTTTCGAAAGACAGCGAAAAAATTGCCCGAAGCAATAATTCTAAAACTAGAGACATAAATCGAAAGAAAAAAGAAAAAAAGTAAAGGAGAACCTCTAAGAAATCCCGTGAAGTTTTGCATATATTTCCTGGAGAGTCGTAATTAATTCATGAAAATCAGGAGCGATTAAATAACGATTCATTCGATCGTTTCATCGGTTGGATCGCATGAAGAGGCCTTTTCGAAATTGAAAGGGCCGAGTAAGGTTCAATATTGTTTATTATATTAATTAAATGTGCCGAGAGGTTCGCGCGGGGTAAATGGATGATCCTTGGAAGGGTTGTGGGTGCAATTGGGGAAATTATGCAAGGTACCGGGGTAGTGGTTCGATGCAAAATGCACGCGCTCGGGGCAGGGCGAGCTCGATTGGAAAATAAGCCCCGAGGAAGAGGCGAAGCTGTTGAGCTTTTAAGCTAGTGTCAAGTATTCGTTTTCACCCGCGACGAAGCCAGATATGTTACGAGCTGCAACAAGGAGCGCATCGGGCGTGAAGCGAGTACTTCTAAGGGCACCTGGCCTCGTCGTCTACGTTTCGCCCCGACGAAGTTAACGCTTGGTAATTGCCCTAAGTGCATTAGGGCAATCTGACGATAGCGACCGAAGAGAGGGGCGCGGCTGAATATCGCCTTTCCAAAAGGGAGTGGTGTGTGTCTTGGGCACGACGTCCCCAATTTGCGAAATGCAGGGGATGATTCCCATGCACTTTGCCCTGTAACCGTATCAGGCATTGACCCCCTCGAAATAAAAAATAAATCCAAGTGCTTCAAAGCCCGTATCAATTGTTTCCCCTCGACCGCCGATTCTCCCGGAAACAGATAAAATAGATAATAAAAGCCGTTCAAGGCGGAGCCGAAAAATAGGAATTCTCTGCTGCGGTGAAGCGGCTTCGAGAATAATTCAAATACACCGAAATAGCTCTTGAATTGAAATACTTAAGCGCTAAGTGTCTCACGCGCTGGTTCTGGTTACCTATCAATTACAGGAGGCGAGTCCTGGATCTTAAAAGCAATCGTGGAGGACTAATTGCGATGAGGTACTGAGCTGCGGAAAAGTTTGCCCGGTATTTCCTGGCGAGGTTCGACTAGAAGTGCGTGAAAAGTTTCGTCCCTGGTTTCGAGATGGGAAGGAAGTACAAACAGCGTCTAATTCCAGAGCAGGATCGCAGAATTTGCGGCAGCATCTGTCTCTGCCAGTTCACGATCGTGATCAGCTGTGTGGCTCTGGTCTACCTGAGCGTCGCCATTTACATGCCCTCGCACAGGTAATTGCGAGGTTTAATTAAATATAAATTTGCATTTCAATTTGAGGCTCCCTCCCGGCGTGATTCTAAATACTCAGAAATGAATATGCATTTCAATTGGAGGCTTCCTCGACGTTTTTCTCGTATTTCGGGGAACTGAAAGGAACTCGGTACATCTTTTCCGCAATTTCTCTCGTTCTAGAGCTTTTCACGCCGGCATTGAACCCGAGCCCGTTATGTGCCAAACGGTTAACGCCACCTTGGTGAATTATTGCGGCTGGGCGAGTTGCGGGGAATGGTGTTTAACGAAAACCACAGGATTCTGCCCGCAAATCCATGCTACCGTTAGACGTAATGGTACCGACGTCGTATTCCAGAATTGCTCGAAAATGGTCAGCATTTCCTGCCCGCAGGTGAATATCCCAAGAGTACTCGGTACTGCAAGAACACTTACAGAAAACCTTAAATTTTGCTGTCTTGGGTATTGCCCTCCACTGCGGGGATTTTTTTTTTTTTTAAAGGGGGGAGTTCCTGGTTCATTCGCAATTTCTAAAATATATTTCGCAAAATATATTGTGCATGAAACGCGTTTCACGAGGCAAGAGGCAGCACTTTACGAGGATGAATCCCTCGAGGAATTCATTGATCATGTCAAATGCTATCGCGTGAGAAGGGGGACATCTGAATAATAGGGGATACTGATATCCTTGACATTCCGAGGAGGTGGAGAAAAAAGCTCGAGAAGAAGGCGACAGCCATAGAGGCGTCAAAGATGGATCATCAAAGGAGTCAAAGAGGAGCCGAAGGAGGTTATATCGCGATTTCATACACGTTAATTATTTTTTCCAGCCAATATTCACGAGGGGTTCCCCGTAAAAGTGTTCGCTTCACAGGCAGGACTTTTATCCTGCGATCGAGTTACGGGTTGCTCGTGCGAACGATGCAAGTTGCGATTCCGTTCAATGCACGCTCTCTGATGCACCGAGCTGCATCGGAGGCGGAAAGTTGCAGAGCCCCGAATAAAAAGATTCATTAACAAAAAAAGCGAAACGCCGACTGAAAGCTGCCAATTTCGATCTCTATGGCGGATTAAAATAGAGGCTCAACCAATTGTTCGCAACAATTGGGCTTTTTATGGGGGAAATCGAGGCGACCCAATTTTCTGCGGAGTAAAAAATCCAGATATCTCTCTCCCTTCGGGGATGCAAATTGAAGATTAGAATTCGAGTTTTAATATGTTTTCGAGGGAATGGGACGTTATTAAAAATTATGCCGCAATTTCGAGGGGAACTGGAAGTCGAACTCGCCTCAGGTTTTATTGAGAGTCGGAAAAGTGGAGGGTATAAAAGAACTGTAAAGAAGAGTTCTCTCTCCGAGTAGTGTATCTATGAGTTCGGGAATTTTATAACCGCGGTTATGACAGAAAATATGAGAAATGCTGTTGCGGAGGTATACGTCACCGGGGACTACATTTTGTCAGGGTTTCATTTAATCGACGACCGACTCTGATGCTATAGTCGTCGAACTAGGAAAGTTTTAAGTGAATTGCGGACTAATTCGAAGTTTTAATCAATGCCAAGACATTTATCCCCAACGAGGAATGTTTACCGAGTGATCCTCCCGTGAAATGGTACAAGGAAGTTCAAGGATTGGTTCGGAATGAAAGTCTGCATTCCCTGGGAAACGCTTTAGAAAAATGAATCTCTACGAAATGAACCCAGGGAGCCGTAATTAAAGCGTTAAATGATTCCGAAAAATAATTACCGTGGATAATGCATGTACAGCGTGAGCTCGGATGTCAATTAGCTTGGCGCGATCGGTATGACGCTTTCATGGTATAAATTATTCCCGAGGGGATAATCTACCGAATCGAGGCCAGAGGGACATTATCAAATGAGGTACCCTTTCCCGAGTCAACGGATAATCGACAAGCATCCCTAAACGCGACGGAATACTTTACTAAGGGATTTAAAGTCCATTTCCACAATTTTTCAACCGCAGGTTAATTTGGCGTCGCTGAAGAGGTACAACTGCAACAACGGGAGCGAGTGCAACGTCCTTTCGGGGATGTTCAACTGCAGCTTGGGGCATTGCGCCAACATGAGCGAGCTGCTGCTTTGTCATTACAAGGCCGATGGAATCGTTGTTGACAGCGAAAAGGACAACATGAAGCTGAACGGATTCTTCAGCTGCCACAACACGAGATGCACGAAAATCAAAGGACCCTTTTCCTGCGACCGGTACTGCCCGAAGCTTGTCACGTCGGGTGTCAACGTGTTCCTGATGCAGGACGACAATGTGTTCACCGCGAGATGTTCTCGAGCAGTGGCCCTGAACAAGGCCAATGGCAAACTCCCGGGCACCAGGCTGAAGGAGCCCGTCGAAATCTGGGAAGAAGATCGAGGAGCTGTCATCGCGAGTTGCCTGGCTGTCACCAAAAATGGGGATTCGATCAGGTAAAATGGCTGTCACAGTTTTTTTATCACCCAATCCAAGTCTCTCCCTATTTCGACCCCTGTAGAATAAGTAACGCCTGTACGTCCTTATCAGGACCTGAAATTTACACCCCACAAGCGAAATGTAGCGGACATTGGAAAAAGAGATAAGGGGTGTGCGGAAATTTCTGAATATAGCCAATAGGGTAGAAATTGTTAGTAGAGAGAATTTACTTTCCACCGTTTTGGTAAATTGCGTGGAACTACCCGAGATACCCAGCCCATAAACCAGTCGACCATATAGCTTAATCTAACTATGAAGATCAAAGGATAGCCGATACCACCCGGGAGTGCGATAGCGACCTTCGTTCGGGGATATTTCCGACAGGACAACAAGCCTGGAAAGAGGGTCCCATCCCTTCCAGGACGAATAGGTCCTTTAACCCCTGTAAATGGCCCCGAAGTACTTCGCCTTGCGCAAACATCCTATAAATAGTAAAAAGATACTAGAACATGGCCAAGCAATAATTAACGTTTCCATGGATTCCAGGGAATTGTTGAATTAAAATATTTTAAATAATATCGCCGTGTGAGTGGGGGTGGATACGACAGAGTGGAGGGATGGCCCGCCATTCGGAATAACCTCTGACGAAATGACACCCCGAATAGAGGGTCTCGACCCTCAAAGGACGAGTGAGACTCCCAACCCTCTGTTGATGCTTCGGAATCTTCCCTTCGTACCATTTCCTACCGGTTCTATAGGGCGTTTCAAGGGAGCCAGACATTCGAGTGTCCCCTGGTCCCCACCCTAACGATATCGCTTTCTCGCTTGAGCACATTGCGATCGAATTTCTGAAGCCATCCGGGAGACCCTGAAGACGGAGTCCGCTCGAGGAAGGAAAACGCGACGAAGGAGAGGACGGCGCGGAGAGGAAAATTCTATATGAATTTTCCCATACCCTCCAAGGGGGATTACTCGCATGATCTGAAAATACAGGGTAAGGGGAACCAGGGAGAAAAATATTCCAGGTTCGGACCAACGCCCTGTGAAATTCCTAAGAGCATGCAACCGCGATATTTCTTCGGCACCCGTAAACACACATTACCTTCCCTGAAGAAGCCTAAAATATTAGTCTGCAGGAAATATCGGCCCTCTGTGGATCATAAGCTCTGCTCGATTTACGGGGCAGGAAAAGAACCCATGCATCATTCCATTTCTGGCTATAAATCCTAAAAAAATGATTATTAAATCAGCGGCGCTTCGGATGGCGGTAAAGCTCGGTAGAGATGATTTTCTTCGTTAATGTGGCTGGTCACTTAAGCGGACTCGAAGTTCGTCCCTCGTGCTCCATTTCGGTGCATAAATCAGCCGTAATTCCTCTCGGCGAGCCGGAATTTCGGGGACCAGGGAAACGAAGGGAGGGAAGGAGAACATTTCATGGAAAGTTAAGGCGGATTCGCCGGGGAACCATAACGTGGGAAATTCAGGCGTCAACTTAAAAGCACTCCAATCGATCATCCTGGAGGAGCCTAGGAGGGAAAGTGAAAAATCGACCTCGTAGAGGGAGGAACTTGCTCTTTCCGGCCCCGATCGGACTCATCCACGAGAGTCTCTACCACGTGGAGTAAATTAATTTCTTTGCTGATCCTCAGAACGGAGGACTGCGTGAATGGCACTCTTCTAGATGAAGCCACCGTGCCGCAGCCCTTCATCAACTTCACCACTCTCCTTGACATCTACAATCGGAGCCTCCTCCACCCCCTGGATCCGACGAACGTCTATGTGCCCTCCCAGAGATCTCTCACCATTTACAATAGCTCGCGACTCTTCATCAACCTCGAGGGTTGTGTGAACACCCTCAGAGGAGAGTGTCGCGACTTCCTGGCCACTCATGGGAGGGATGGTGACAACCAGACGGCCCAGAGCAGATATCCCTGCTTTTACAACAAGGTACGTACACCCTCCCATGTAAAATACTCCGTCGAACTTCATAGTGAAATTCTTTTCAACTTTTTCCTGAGAGAAAAGAATTACCTCTCCACGTGGAGGGTAAGGTGGCGAAAGGGCCATTTTGAGGAAGGCTCCTCAGCATTTCGCTTCCGTTCTTATACCGTAGTAAACCGTGCATGTGTCTCAAAAATGGAAAATTATTACATAAAATACTGCATTCAATTTTCTTCACTACACATTTTTTTATTTTATTTTTTTTTCTGAGACAAAAATGTATCTTTCCACTTTGCGAGTAAGGTACCCGATAAGGGTATGTGGAAAAGGGAAGTTTCGTCGGGTCTGACGAAAGGGCCTTTTAGGGAAGCCTCCTCGGCATGTCGCTTATGCTTTTAGGCCGTAGTAAAGCGAACGTGCCCCAAAAAAGAACCTTTGAGGTCCTTTGGCGGAAAGTACGAGGCGCAAGGACATATGTACGAGGGTTGTCAACACCAAGTATCGATTTGCAAATGTTAATGGAAATGTGGAACGCAAGCGTACACCGATGCAGATCACTCTCGCCGCGTTCTAATTTGCATTGAGAAGCACGATGTGGAAATCGCGGTGCTATAAAAGCGTGTAAAATGGGTCAATGCCCGGAAAGCTGGAAACAATGAAGGAGATTTATTCAAATTGAATTATTTTTCGTTATAAAAGTTACCCGGGATAGAGGGATGAATTTTCATAACCACGTCCGTCGAGTCTCTCCTGCATATCCGCTAAGAGTCAAATTACCGAGGCGATGCGGCTCACGTTAAACATCATCAATAAATCATGGGACGTGCAAGAAAATCGAACTTCTCGAGGAAAGAGTCGGCCGAGGCAGAGCAGAAATTATTTCAGGAAATAGGTTAAGTTTGCGTGCATGCCTCGATGGGGAATTGAACTCGTTCCTCGGTATCAATCAATTCTCATTCATAATGCATCGCCGCGAGGTATAAAATAAGAGCAAGACGCGCCATCGACAAGCCGAGATACGACAACGGTGACAGGAAAATATTTCCAAGTCCTTCTTCATCACGCGATCGATTTACCCCGTGACGGACGGAGGAAATAATTAATTGGACGCATTATCGCGATGCGAGGTAGGTTTTCCTTTTTCCCTACTTTTGCACCAAATCCTTGGAATTTCAGAACGACTCGTCCTTCGTGGTGGCTCGCTTCGACCTGAGGAAGACCAGGATAGAGCTGCTGATCGCCATCATAGTGCCGACGAGTCTTTTCGTGATAAGCCTGACGACCCTGGTGGTGATAACGCGCTCGGTGCGCGTGGGGGATGACGCGAAAATGCGCTGTCGATATTGTACAGAACCTGAAGAGAACGAGGCCGAAGGCGAGGGGCTGGTGGAGCGAGCCTCGGTCTCGCCAGAATGTCATGTCAATGAAAACGAGGTCAGAAGTATGGCCCTTTAGCAGTTTAAGTTCGGAGCAGAGGAGTACGAACGTCTGCCGCTCATGGATGACGATGCCGAAGACTCTCTCTGAGCGACCCATCAAAGATCACGCCAGGGAAGACGAAGACTCCCCAGGGAAGAAATTCATTCCACTTCCTCACGCGAAAGCAGATTTCCGAATACGCGTCGAGTCGCGAAGAAATCTCGAAGAACATGGAGAACCGTCCCTTCAAGGTGGGAGGTTCTTCAGGATTCGCCCAATGGAGAACGAGGAACTCGGCCTAAGAGTTCGCTAGGAGGACTCCAGATGAAGAGCTCATCCCGAAGAGATCAACCTGGAGAAATACCCTGAAGATCACCCGAAGAGGTCGCTTTGAAGGTCCACTGGGTGCAGGACCCGATCCGAAGAGTTCACCACTCAAGGATGGTGAACTCTTGGATCACGGAAATCGCAATCCATGGGAGAGACCCTCGGTAAACTTCACCCCTGATTTCGATAACTTATTCGATATCATGACTTCCAGGAACACCAGAATTTCAGTAGTGGCGGGAGGTGAGGAATCCATGTCGTGTTCTCTAAATATACAACCTCGGTCCGGATAAGTCCGTGCAAAGGGCTCTTCAAGGGGAATCCGCCAATCAAGGGGGAGACTCCCTGAGGAGTCCATAATTTAGAGTCATCGATGTCGGCCAACTTCGGGAATGGGATCGTGTCGCGAGGACATCCCCTAGGGTGCTAGGGGACGCTTTTAGTAACGTTAGCCTTGAGGAAACCCTTGCACCCGGCGCTTTTCCCTCGATCGTGCCATTATCGGAAACCGCACGCTCCTCTGAGTCGAACCGTGACAATATCGATACTCGCTAATGATACCCCGTCGTCTTCGAGAACCCTCCTGGAACCAAGGTCGATGAAGGGGCTTCTCTCTTTCGGCTACGACCCCCTTATGGCGGGTCAAAGGGTGGCCCTGATTAGACGGCTCCACAAGAATGACGACCCTCGGTCACGAAAGGAAGGTGTAAGGGCGAAATTGCGATGATTTTCGGCTACCACTCGGGGCGCGCGGATTTAGCCGAGGTTTCGATCAGGCCAAGGGTTAAAAATAATTCCGGGGACTTTTGCACCTGACCAGGCAACTATACGAGATGTCGACATCGTTCCAGAAAGTCACCCTGATGGGGCCAAAATATTAACCATTTCTATAACCGTTGCCTTCGATGTACTGCGACCACTTTTTATGTAACATTGCAGAGCGTAGATAAGTATATACGTGTATTCGGATTAATATGTATTTACCTCCTAAGCAGTTTTGTACTCGAACCGTTTTCGTTACGACGCCCTCCCCGCGATATCTCGGACGACGAATCGCGGAGGAAGTGATAAGGACTCAAAGGTACCTTGTAGTGAGTTGAGCAAAAATCAATTTAACTTTGTATATTCTCTTACGGGTGGAGGAACCTTTTTTTAAAGCCCGGGAAGCTTTCGATGTTCGGCACGACGGGGTGAACTCGGTCGAGGACTGGAATTCAAGCTGGGGAGAATTTTTCAGGATTTTTGAAAGTAGGAGTCGAAAAAAATTCTCCCAAGCTCGAATTGAATCCCCGACTGGAAGATCATTTCCTGCGGGATGACGAATGCTACAACTGCCTTTGCGGATGGAATTTTATCGTATTTAATTGTACATGTAAGTGGGTTTTAACGGATACGCTGCAATGTGTCGTTTAACAATGTCTGGACAGAGTATTTTGCGATCACTGAGTGAATTGATGTGTAGAACAGCGAACGGCCTGTATTATCGTGTATAGATCCTCTCATTATTATGAAACAACATTCTCCCGATCGAATCATGTTCGAATGTCTCTCATCGATGTATATTAAGTTTCTAAGCTACTCGTATAAAATTGACTAAACGAGATTTCCAAGTAGCGTCACCGTGTGATGCTTCAGAAACGTTAAAAAAAAAAATCGTTTATTCGCAAATCATTCACAAGAAACAGTACAACGTCTTGGGAAGGTATTCTTGCAAGATCTAAAAGTAATTAAGGACCATTGAATGGAATAAAAATCCCTGAAATTTAGTTTCGACTTCGAGCCGAGGATATTTATTCTCGTACGTATATTTCTACCGTTTGTCATTGACAAAGTATTAAATATCTATATCAGCCTAAGACTCGAAAACTACCCCTAGGGTGATTCTCTTGGTGCATCATGGAGATTATAGCGAAATGAAATGCAATTATTCTCGGTCATTGATAACGAACAATCGAGCATGTCATCCATTCGGTTCGCTAGGCTTTCGAATGCTTCCTTTTTCATGAAATGTTTAAATAGCTAGGGTAGCTTCGAATGCACTTATGCGAGCCCATTTGCAATTGGAGTGACTCCCGTAATCGCTGTGCTGCACCGACGACGAAGACACACTGCAAAGGTATTTTACTCTACGTGCCTTCTTCCGTTCGTGCTATTACAGAGTAATGCAACTGGTTAATGTCCGTGGTACCGTACAACGCACTTGGTGGGGAAATGGCGAGCGAAGGTCTCAAAAGTTCACCACCTTTTTGCCCCGTCTCGTACAAAACGTTCTGTCACGTGGCGAGTACCTAATTATTAAATTGACAAAGTAACATGTACAACGTACCTAATACGCGTTTCTCGTGAAAGGTGTACGATGCGTGTATGGATAATACGTTTTGTAAATAAAGTCTGACATATATATGTATATAAATCAACCGGATTTGTGATTCCCTCTGACAATTCATGTGTTAATTATTCCTTTAATTTATGCCGATTCTCTCGTGCTATGAAAAATTCTGCGTAATTTATTCCAACAGGATAACCGTGTAACGAGCGTTTATATCAGATAATGGTTACGCATGATTCACTGTTACTATAGAGTCGAGTATTTATTCCACGTGTAATCGATACACCCCGAGGAAACTTGTAAAGCGCAATGTCAATGCAGTTCCCCGCGTCACTTAGGGTGAAGTGTCTCGTTAAAAGTCGCAAAATACGGGGTTTAAATTCATTTGAAAAGGGAGTCTTACGCACCTTGACTCAATTTTGGTCTGCTGGCGTGACCGTCAAAAACCGGCGCCTATTTCCGGCGAGATCAATACACGCACGAATGGCACAAGAATAACACGCGCATGTCGGTTACGCATGTTACGAGTCGGAAACCAAGGGTGCATCCACACGCGTAACGCACTAATAATACTCGAATTTTGGATGAAAACATTTTCCCCCAAAAAAAGGGGCGCTAGAATAAGTCAATATATATGATGTTGCAAAACCTCTCCGAAAAAGAAACCCCATTAGAACTGAATTTTTTCAGATAATCCTGAAACATTTAACTATTACATCCCCTGCCACGATTGTTAAATGACATGTAATCACGATTGTTAACGCGTTAAGTCATCCAAGATAGTCAATTAATTCCCGAAACTAATTTCCCGGGGACAAAAGACTTTACCAAACATCGGGCGCTTTCATTATCGCCGCTTGTTTGGAACTAATTACCTTATTCAATTACCCAGAAACTTCCGTAAATAATCAAACAAGTTCCCAGGCGTAAATTCGAGCGCAACACGCGATAAATGTTCCATCGATTCGAAAATTGTACGGCATTGGTAACGAGCAAACGTTTGCTCGGCGTCCTTACAATGGCGCTCAAAATGTACGTCCATTATGGGAAGTGTTCATTTCCGCACGCGGCTTATTCCTCGCTCGATTTTTCCTCCACGAGTACACCTCCGTCAAGTGTCGTTACGACGTCAGGAAAGTCCTTCCCAGGCCTTTCTCCTATCGTTAGAAATAATTTTCCTTTTCCTGACAGTGACGTCGTGGGCGTCGCACGAGGTTCCCAAGCCTCGCGTGTTACGAAACGTTTCGCCCCGAGGACATCCCTAAAAGGCTTTGCCACGAAGAACACATAATCCGACATGAACTCGGATTTATTGAAACGCAATGCCGGAATTAAAAAAAAAAATATCAATAAACCGCTGCATGAAAGTTATCAAGATCGTATAAAAGTCCCATGATTTTTGCTTTATCGCTAAACCTCCCCATCTATTGTCTAAAAATTCCAGGGTGGGCCAAGTTGACATTTTATGCCTCCGGGAATTTTGAACGATCGTGAATAATTTCCAGAATTATTGCGAGGATTGTTCATGTCGATTCATTAGGTGTGGTCGAACGATAGGTACCGCGAAGTGCAGCTTTTACGAAAGCGCCGATTCGTCGAGTGGGGTTGCCCAACATGGAGGGTTTGGTTAACGTTAATGACAGACCGTTCATCAGGTGGACGTCATGTCAACGAGGGCTCTGATTGCACGGAAATGGAAAACATGACGTGCAGTTCGAATTAAAGGCGATGCGATCTCGGGTGCGGCCTGCCAATCATTGCTGTTCGATTGGTGATCGATGAATCGGAGATGTAATGTCGCATTTAAGTACACGGGTCGTCGGATGAATTAATAATTGAAACATCTCAGGGAAATATGGCAATTCTTCGGGGACTGCGCAGAAAATAGAAGTCGACACGGCCGAGAGATTAATTAACATTAATTGCAAGGAATCCTCCGCGAGGAATTCCTGGAGGGAAACGCGCAGATCGGTCCAATAATGCCACATGACGACATACCGACGTACGTGCGCAAGCACGTGAATCAATACATCTCAGGTAATGAGCCCACGGTGGGTACCCTGCGTGTAACCTCCCCCATTTGCATAATTTCCCATCGACTGGGGGACGAGAAATTCATTTTTTAAACGTCGAATTTACTTTGGACCGGTCACGCCAAGGAGGCAAACGCGTCGCGTGTGCCACATTTTGACACGTTCATTTGCTAATTAAATAACCACTCGACGGACATAAATATCCAGGAAACGAGGCTTCCACGAGTCCACCTTGATGAGAAACAGCGATCCCTCCGATTCATTTACCCTGAAGCACGAGAAGCCAGGATGTATCCAGGTAACCGGAGAATGCCGTTCGCCAGCCTGTTATGCTGTCAATCCGACCTGTCAAGTCTGCACATCCCCACAAGCCTGGGGAAGGCAACTGTATCAACATTGATGACAGACCCGACGAGGCCGGTAATTGACACAAGGAGGAGCCATTGAGATTTTTCCTCGCTTCAAGCCCTCAGAACTGGAAATTAATTCTCCGCGCATCTATGTTAGGTGTGTAATTATCCCGGATTAATCTTCGGCTTATCACTTCGTTTTTCAGAGGATTAATTTCCCCTCTCGCAGTTTCTCCCGGGTACATCAACAGGTACCTCGAAATATCGTTCACGACTAGCCTCGCTACGTCGTGGGGAAATTAATTCTCCCCGCAACTATGTTTGCTGGAAGTATAATTATCCTGGATTAATCATCGGCTTATCATTTCGTTTTTGAGAGGAGGATTAATGTCCCCTCTCGCAGGTTCTTTAGGAAGCCCCTGGGGGTGGTACCAGGGGGACCCAGGGGTCCACCGACGAGCGTTCTCCAAAAGCGACAGGTACGTCTTCAGGTCCCAGGAAATTCCGTTCACGACCAACCCCGCTCCGCCGGGGCAAATTAATTCTACAAAGCCAGGTCCGAAATTGCCGAAGAGACGGGTCGATTCGGTCGTTCGTTTACGAGGACCTTAACTCGGCGGTACTAATTTCTCACCTGGGCGTCCGACCCGGCACCGACGCGGATTCTGCACGTGGACCGCGAGGGCGACGAGACCCCGGTAATTAATTTATTTACCGAGCTCGACTGACATGCGGTAAATATCGATCGGAGGAAAGGTGGAGGTGCAAGCCTCCGGAGACGTTGATGGAAACTCGAGTTAATGGCTGGCGTCGTGCTTGGAACGACAACAGCCTTTCTGGGACAACGATTGGAAAGTCGTCTCGCGACCGTCATTATTTCGAGACAGGCGATAATAATCGTAATGTCTTCATCATTCCCCTCATTGAAATTATAGGGACTTCTAGTGGTAACCGTGTCCCCTTCCATTCATCTCCCTAGCCTCGCCACTAAATCCGCGCTTAATTGCGCGCAATATTCCGCCCTGACGGGTTCCTTGAGATGTTTATTTTCAAGACGGAATAATTACTCCCGCGGTGAAACTGGGTGACACCGGGGATAATTGCGTAATATCTCGCCTTGGAGAAACATCCCCCGAGAGGGGTCAATTTTCAATTTTTCATGGTTTACTTCTAACGCCGGTGTCTCGATCATCCTCGCTCACCGTGGGAAATTCCTCGTTCTTCGCCGGAAAACTCGGCGCTCGATTGTCGGAATGGCGAGAACCCTTTTCCGAGAGGGTTGTTATCGCGGCTCCCGAGTTTTCCTAATTTCCTGGGAACGACCTTTCGGAAGCCCCCGGGAAAGCCTCCTTGGGTGGGGGAGTAAATATCGCAGTTAAGCTTAATTTTCCCTCAAGGAAAGCTCTCAGACGGCGGGCGATTTACGCGGCGGGGTGAGCAACCGATACATACCCTCACGGAGCGAGACGTGCTTAGGAGAAAAACGCGTTTTCATGAAGATTAATGCGGCAATGCTTTCTTCCACCGCGGAAAGTGGCCTACATCTAGGAAAAACGAGGCCGGCATATTGAGCGATTTTTGCGAACCTTCTTTTCCATTCTTTTACCACATTTTCCCGCCACCTCGAGAGGTGCGATAAAGGCCGCACCCCCTCTAGGAATTTCTCTCTATATAATTATTAGAAAAAATATATGTATACACGTGTATGTATTAACTTTTGAAAAATTGCTTAGCAATCACTTACGCGTTAGTTGTTAATGCATTGTCCATCGAAAGGGCGCCAGAAATGACTAATATGCGTGTCGATTGAAATTGCTAACTGAAATCCAAAATCGCGACGAAATAACCTCGAATTAATCCGATTCGCCCGAATTTGCGGTATTGGCGGAAACGCAAAATCCCCTTCCTACGATCGCAATTACTCCTACATGTCGGGGTTTCCCATTCACGGCCATTTCTCGCGAAAAAGCTCCGTTATTACGCGTTACAATATTTTATGAGCGTTGCGGTTGAAAGTATCAATTTTTATTTTGTTCGTATATTTTTCTTTTTTTTTAGATAAAGTGTCATTACAGATGCGTTAAACAAAACGAACCCTCTGCCAGTCTAGCAGCCTGGGAGAAGTTTTACGACCTTGGCATTAAAATTTCCTCTAATCTGCGCCGTGGCCGAAACGTTATGCAAATTTTCAGACGAACTTCGGGCATAAAGCTACAAACGGAGTGACCGAATTCCTCGTTTTCTCGTACACGACTTCGGCCATGAATATTCAGAATGGCACGCCTTAATTTCATTTAAAAGAGGACTATTAAGTTTCAGTTTCATTCCAACGTTTATACGTATTTTAATTCTCCCGAGTCCCAAATGGAAATGCAACATGAAACGACTCATTGTCAGCAATTATCTGAGCGTCGCGAAGTACTCCCCCGAGTGCACTTTTCGTTTATCTAGAGCATTACATAGCGCAATGAGCATGCTCACGTGAATAGGTCAGTCGACTAAGTTAATTTAAGAATGTTTTCGACCTCTCCCTTATAGAAAGGAACCAAGTACCTTAATTCCTCAATGATAGTCCGTAATAATTACGGAAATAGATTGGCACAATTATTTAAGGAAAAATCGTCAGGAAAATGGTACAAGTCCAAGAATGTTCTAAAAATTGTACAGTTTATATTTTTCTTTTTTTGCGGTGTATTCGCAGAGTGCGTATTAAGTAGAGAATGTCTTTTAGGATTTACAGGGAACTCGGATAATCGTTCGAAACCAGGACGAGCGAAGAAATGGCGAAATGGGCGACCTTTCTTGATACCCGCGGCCATGGAAAGCATGATCGAACGGAATTTCTAAATGGCTAGGAGAACATGGGTTCTCTTGCAAATCTTTACGATGCTGTCCAACTTTCGCGGGAGAACGATTTGAATTTATATGCGATACGAGTCGGACTTATCTGTAGGGCATCGAGATCGCGGTTCGAGACAACGTGCTCTCGATAGGAGCGATCGATAGCGAAACAAAAGGTCCGCTCGTTTTGCACATTTTAAGGGCTGTAAATCTAGCTGGAACGGACTTTTCAACCAATCGGAGAATTCCTTTCAAGAACCATGGAAAATCGTCCACCGCGATAAATCGTCCGTAATCAGCTATCAATGAAATTCCAGTTTACCCAAATTCACGTATAATAAAAAATGCCGTACTTACACAGCGCAATAGAACCTGAATTTCTGGGTCTTTATGTTAAAGGATTAAAGATAAATGTGGATGGGAAAGAAAATTATGAAAAGAGTTCTTCAAGGGCAGAGGAATTTTTTTTTTTAACGAAGCATGGAAAAGGCATGACTCGAATGGCCTGGATATTTCGTGGTTATTAGATTGTTCTTGGAAAGTAATAGGTCAGATGTTATCCCAGAGGTGTAAAAAGAAATGTAATTACTCTGTGAGCCACTTTTTTAGATCAATAAGACCAAGTTCACAGAACTGCGCCCAGGACTGCCTGTTGCTCCTCGTGAATGGAGTAGTTTAGAAATATCCCATTTATCAATGACGACCCTAATTCGCATAAAGTTCGAGTCCCCTCGTCAAGAGTCAGTTGGAGGAGTTATCCGTGGGTCTATCGGGGTCAATATTGAAAATTAACGAAGAGTGATCAGACAAAATCACGGGCGAAAATGAATAGGGATCGTCCCTCTCGGCATTGAATTCTTACCGAAGTGAAGATTTTGCGAGCTAATCTATCATCTTCTACCCTGGATTGGAAAGGGCATTTGGAGGTCGTGACGTAATCGATAAAACGTGGACTACCTTCTGGAAATAATTAATCGATGACGCCAGCGTAGGGAGTAAACAATTAAATTAAAAAACCTCGGCTGGCAATGATTTCTGCGCAGAGAAAGTCTGAGAGAAAATCATCGACGGTCTCGTTTATAAAATATACGCTAGAACGATTGTTTAAAATACAGGTCTCTGTTGCCGATAAAGGTGGGCATTGAATTTCGGGAAATTAGGTAAAAATTATATCCTCGATGCCTGGACCCTTATAGATGTAAAACAGATTGGAAAAATCAGCCGTGCAATTCCGTGAGTCTTAAAATTATGTAGTATTATAATTTAACACTGTTTCGTGCTTATCAGGACCTCCGACCACTGATAAGCGATGGAAGGGATCCGCAGTCGGTACTCTGCAGAATAGGTGGTAAAGAAGAGAGCGGATAAATGGCGACTTACCTTCAGCTCCTCTTGTCGTTTAAACGCGTGCAACATGAGCTGCTTTCGGTCCTCCTCCGACAAGACGGGCTCTCTAGCAGGTTTCCCAGCACCTCTTTTTTGCAATTTAACAATCACTTTGGTCTTTTCATTCCTCCCTAGGAAGTCCCTCAATTTGCACCCTCGAAGCATCTCCTTGCCGCAGAACCAAAGCTGGGCCAACTGGATGTCCATGACCTGGGCAAAGGAACATTTCCCTCAGATCATACATATTATTACCAATGAATGCGAAAAATAAGAACAAAGATGATAATAAAATTGAAAACTCGAAACCTATCGCCTTTAATTTAATTATTATTTTATTAACTCTAAGGGCTGCTTGGTCATGCAATCGCGTGATGATTTCCAGGTGCGACGGGGATTCCAGTTTCCTCGGTCCTGTGTTATAAATTTCTTTTATGAAAATATGATATTCACCTCTAGAGATGCCTGGGTGCCGGTCAAATCCTCATTGTTTTCGAATTCCTGGCGAATCACGTCATGCGGAGGTAAACCCATCGGGTAAACTATGGTAACGGCACCTCGCAGATGATCCAGAGCTTCTTGCACGGTTTTTTGGTCGACCAGTTTTTCCTGCAGCACCAGCTTCTACGAAGGAATAGGAAGCTTCTTTATGAGCGACGCGAATTATCCGCAATAGCGGTACCAATAATTCGCGATGACCATTACCTTAGACGTCCCGGTCCGGGCGTGCTCGATGGCCTTCTTCAAAATCCCCTGCATCCTCTCGTTCGGTTGGCGACCATTCCGACGACCTTGAAAAATCATATCCACCTCGACATAATGGAATAAAAATAAGTAGGGCATGAATTAACTCCTAGAATTTGTCAGGACCTTTTGGGGAACTTCAACCGAGGTGCAAGAAGGGCGGCGAAAAATGGGAGCAAACTCTTAGGTGGGACAATTAAAATTCTAATCGGATATTTCGCCGGCACCCACACGTGCCGTGTAGTACCGGCCAGGGGGAAATAAGAGGAGCTTCTCTTCTAACGAGAAAAGCCATTTCGAAGATGCTTCTCGAGCGGTTCGTGCAACTCCCATGAGCCGGGAAACTTGTTCCTACCACGGCTAACGTAATCATTCCACACGCGAGAGTAATGCAAATAATAGGCTTTTCTGTATCTTATTTACCGATAACGTCCTTGTTAAAAGTCCAGCCTCCGGATGGTGTGCACTTCTCGGCCCACTCGTCCTTAAGTTTCAGCTCTTCGACTTGTTCTTCGGTCAGTCCCATCATGTTCTCGGGCAACATGGTGCCATACTTGGCAAGCTCTTCCATTTCTATTAATCAATGACCGGATGAATGTTCAAAAGCTCGATAGGACGTTTCAACCGAATCAACATTCCGCGTGTGTATCCAACATTTTCATTCGACGTGATATCGTTAAGGATCATGAATATGAAAATGGAAACGTCAAAACGATACCCTAATGCTTTGTAAACATAATCTCGCAACGGGTGCCTTCGCTTATACTTGCCGTAACAAATTCTTGAGACTTTCAGACGACCATTGTAGATAGTTGTGATGTCGTTGATTACATTATCGACACTTTCCTCGAGGTTGGTGTCGAAAAGAAACTGGCTCTCGTCCCCTTTTTTCACGTGGAGGCGCACCATCTTGAAGAGGTTCCGCTCTTTTTAATGGAATAACAAAAAAAATAGAATATCGATCGTCAGTACGCGGGGATGCTTTTGTATCGACAGATGTAGATCTGTAAATCTGTTCTTATCACGGTACAATGTTTCGGCGTGACGTTTTCATTGAACGAACCATCAGTTTCTGTTATATTAACCTTTTCCGTGAGCTTACGTGGTTACGTTTATAAATGGCCGCAAGTACTGTCAAAACACAAGAAACTCTCCTAGGATACCGAACGCTGAATGGAAACTCATCCGAGCTGAATAAACCGAGCCAGGTGCAGGTCACTCCTGGTTTCTGTGACAACGGGAATAATTGATTAAACAAATGAAAACGTGTTCGGCCGCACCTGCCACGCCGCGATTCCATCTACAGACTTTCGGTGCTGCACGTCTGTTAAAAGAAAAAAAAAATATAAAATAAAATACCGCACCCAATTTGCCGATAAATTGCCATCTCCTTAAGAATATTTCACGGCAGAGTCAACGTTGGAAAAATAAGTAGACACCACTGCGACTTAATAATGAAAATCATCATTTAATGAATATATATATTCATCGTCGTACAATAATATACATATTTACAGCTCGAGGAAAAACTGATTACAAGAATAGAGGTGATCGTATTTCAAACATGAAGACACGTTTTTTTTTGTTTCGTTTCTATCGCCTTCTAGACACAAAAATAGTATGTATATATATATATATTTGTATAACTGGCCTGCGGCGCCCAGCGATAAATATTCCGTCGTACACGCTATGGAATAGAGGTCTATACATTTATATTAATTTCATATATATGCGGCTTCACTAATGTAAGTGACTAGTATTACGTTAAAATACGTTTACAATATTATCTCCATAAAAAGTATTATGCGCAGCTCGTTTTACCTTGGGCCCGAGATGGTCCCCTGAATTTAAAGAAGTACTCCGCACAAAGTGACACCTAACGTTTAGAAGACACGAAGAGAGTCAGAGACATTCAATTGTACCCATCGAGTTTGGCTAAGATCTAAGAATTTTGGACACCTTCCAACCATCTAAACAGACGTTACTGCGACAAATTGCGAATCTACCCTCCGGAATGCGAATTCAGTTCGTTCGGTTCGATGAATGAATGCTCCTGTCGGCGCAAATACTTTCCGCTTGTTGATTAGTCATGTTAATTACGAATTACAGACTACCCTTAAACGACGATTTCGAGTGTCCACACGTACCGCGTACATATTGTCTTGATTCGTGTTAAGGTACATCTAGAAATAGGTACTTACGTTCGCGTAATCTACGTAGGCGCTTCTACACAATGTGGCTCTAAGGTGCGGAACCTTCGAGGAAAATAATTGCTTTCATCGACGCCTCGTATACTATCGTACAATTAAAAAAAAAAAAAAAAAAAAATCGGGGGTGCCATTTGGTCCGAAAGAAGTATAAAACAAGTCCGCAAACGCGCACCGCAGGCGCAATCGCCGCGTACGAATGATCGGAAGAACTTGCCCGGAAAATCCGAGAAACGCATCCACGAAAAAAAGTGTGGATCTAGGATTTCCAAGTGCCTCGAACATTTACGATCTACCTAAGTGTCTCATAATCTCGGCGGTCGCATTCTACAACTGTAACTTAAAACACGTATTCCTGACGCTTCGACGTTCACGTCCTACAACGATGCTAATTGAATGCGCTCTACTGTGGGTTGATTATCGACGATCATCTACACACCACGGTGGAACATTATTTGGGAACGATTCGTTACGGTTAACACGTAGTATATGCGTCTCCAGCAAGGACTAGCCTCGCAACTGCTGGAATTTCGTTCAACATCCAACTAGACACGGCAACGACACAGCTGGCGATGGATCCGAGAGAAAGAAGTATCCATTCGATCGGTCCTCTTCGGGATCACGTTGCCTCCACCTGCCGGGGATCGAATAACGCACTGCGTAGGTCTCATAGTTGACCCCTTCAAGGAGTAAAGCCCAAGTCTATTCGGAGTGACTCTCGCAATTTGAATTTGGTGGGAGCCCGAAAGCTTCCCCGCAGGGTTCCTTGAAGACGCCAGGACCTCCTCGCTAACCCTTCGGATCCTTCGGAAAGGAGCGAGCCCCGTGCAACATTGCGTGCTGCACGGTAGCCCCGTCTCAAACTTTGCTCTCTCGGCCATCGGCCGTGTGCTTGAAGGAGCTGCGGATTTTGCTGAGATGAAGAGCTGCGATGTGCCCGTAACTCTTGTTGTACCAGTCCGGAGTGCGGCCCCTTAGAGTAGAGAAACGTTGTATGAGTAATTAGGTTAGCAAAGATTGGGTACCGATTTAGAAAACTGGTTATGGAATCCATACTCACTTTGTGTCCACCCTGGACAAGTGCATGATACGTGATCTGCCACTTCCGCAGGGTTCAATGAGATAACGAGAGGCCAAGACGATGCCTCTGGTTCCTCCTCTTATCAGGGGAGCGTTGGGGTCTTCTATGGAAGTCTCCACTATTACGCAAGTATCCTTCGGCAGGTCGGTCCTCCAGGACCTGCGATGACAAAAGATACCTCGTGAGACCAGTTTCCTTTTCACCGTTTATCATTTTTATAAGAGGAGACCGGGGTAAATGCCTCACCTCACGACGCAGTAATCTCTGACCGGAAGAGGACTCATGTTCTTCGTCGCATACTGGAAGACCTCGGAATTTGTGTCCAGTTTCTTCACGATCTGGAACCGCAGGAGCTGCGGATCCCAAATATTCCTTTCCCTGAGGACGCGCCGAAGAAGCTCATGAGGAGGAGCTTCGACTTCCGTGGAGACCCTCCAGAGGCGAAGCGGATGTCCGTCCCCGACCTTTTTGTAAGCGATTTCTACGGTGCCGTCTGCCGGATTATTGATAGTGACCCAACCTCGACTTCTGAAATGAGTATAAACAACCTCAGAATGATTAAAATTAATTTCTCTCGCGTCCTTCGTGAACTTCCAGAAAGGACGGAGGACACGTACCTCTCCCGCGCCTCCTTCAACAAGGCTGTCGTACATTCCCGCAGGTATCCCCTCCAGTCTTGCTTCAACTCTGATCCCAGTTCGTCAAGAACTACGGGAACGCTCTCTTCCATGTAGCTAAAATGGCACTGCGTCAGCATATCGGAAGAAACCTGGAAGAATAAAAAGAGTACCATGTTACATCGCGCTCTTCAGGAATAACCACACAATTCAGAGCGTCTTTCATTGAGTGGTACTTACTGCACCTACCATGAATAGTTCACGATGCGTCTTAATCAGATATAGCAGACAGTCCAGCGCAGCTTTGTTGTTCTCGGACACTTTCTTCTGATCGGGAATGCCAACTGTCTTCCTCCTCCGTGGCGACACGCTATTAGACCTGTTGCTGATGTCGGGATTGCTGTGGTTGAAGTGAAAGAGGCTAGGAGCAAGACACACCGCCAGGTTCAGGGCAGTCATTTGGTTCTTGGGCGAGTTCTTGGCTACTTGGTTCAAGAAATCCAGGAGGGTCTCCAGAGCTTCGCGATGTTCATCCGGCAGCAACAGGAGAACGCACTGGACAGCATCCGAACGGAGTTCAGCAGGAACGTCTGCGTCGGAAGAAATTTCATTAGAAACCCTGCCAAGAAGCGACACCGACGATAAAAATGATGAAAAATTCTAAACTAATATGTGTCAGACGCGGATGTACAAATCGATATCAGCTCGTGCATCCCGATCACCCAACTTACGTTGAAAAATGGCAATGAACGTCTCGGAGAGCTTGTTCGTCAACAATGCCTCGGGCAGCTCCCTGAAGTACTGCTTGACAAGATCAGCAACGACAAATGCTTGGTGCCCATCGAAGTTGATATTATCCCCCTGCGCCTCGGTCGCGTCCTTCAGGGCTTGTATCTTCGTCTTGGCGGCGCTGGTCCTGAAGATGCCCACCTGGTCCAGCGCGTTCTCCCTCAGCCACTCCAGGGCGATCTGAATGCACTTGGGCAGAGCCTCTCCAGTCCTCTGCAGCGATAGCAGAAGTGGTACCCCGAATACCGTCTTGCCCTTGTAATCGGGGGTCTTTATCTTCCTGATGAACTTAGGCAGGTACCAGTTCCACCCCGTGCGATGAGCTGGACAGTAGGACTCCATGCAAGCGGTGAGCTTGAGGAGGGCCAGTTTCCTGAGGACCAGAAGCTGACCGCAGGACATGGAGGCCATGGCCCTGGAGCAGATGGATCCCATCGGTTCCGGGAACAGGGAGCCCCTCTGGAAGCTGTGCCACCTGACGACGGTTCCCTTGTGTCTAGGTGACTCCTCGTCCTGGTCGGAATCGCGACTGGTCACGGTGGAGCTGCTCTTCTGACTCCCGGCCAGGTCCGAGCTCCTGGACCTGGACTTCCCTCTAAAAGTGGTCACCTCCTTCACCATGGGTTTCCCATCGATCCGAACATCCTCCTTCCCCCGGCGAAGGCTCTCGTGAAACTTCTCTTCCCTCTTCAGGACCGCCACCTTCTCCTCCACGTGGCGCTCTTGACCTTGATTGAAGTTGTCCCTGTACCGCTGAGACTCCTTGCCCAAGTTGAGGCTGTTCCCGCGGGTGCCGATGGGGATGGGCTTGGGTGAGTTCTTGGGACTCCGCGAGCGGGTCTCCACGTACTCCAGCACCTTGGTGTGGTTGCTGTTAGCGTCCTTGAAGCACCTGTGTCGCCATCTGCTCTGTTGGTACTCGGAGTCGCTGAAGGCACCCTGGTCATCCCTCTCCAGGTGCAGGAGCCTGCGAGCCCGGCTCATCTTGATCCTCGAAGAAGGTGCACTGACCAGTGGGCCTCCACCTTGGGAACCATCCGAACAGTAGCTCGAGGAGTCGTCTCCAAACGGACTGGGTGCATTCGTCAATATCGAGGGGGAAAGCTGAGACGGCGATGGAGGCAACGTCCGAGGTGACGACGCCAGCTCGTGGAGGTTCGTCAGGGCGGTGCCTGTAGGCAAGACGTCCACGCAGTTCAGCTCCTTCACCTTCTGCTGCATCGAGGTGACGTCCAGCACCTGGGGTTCGCTGATGACGACCCCGTCGCGGTTGTGGCGTTTTCGTCGTTGGGACTTCAGGGACTCGACGCGCCTCAGGATGGCTTTGGCTCCATCTCGCAGTCGCTCGGAGCTGGTCCTCCGGAAGGGAGGGCACCGTTCCTCGGGAACTGGTCCAGGTGGGAGGCTGTCGCACCTCAAAGTGTCCAGCATGGTGTCTTCCGCTTCCTCAGCCTCTAGACGGTCCTCTGAGCCGTTCTTTGGCGGCGCGTTCTGCGCGGCTATCTCCTGCAGCCTCTCCAAGTTCGCCGGCGTGATGTCGCAGACCCTGGACCACCTTTTGGTGGTCTTCTCGAAGATCCAGTTCTCGCTCAGGGCGCACTGGTTGTCCTCGTCGGAGTCGTCCCCGGCACCCCTTGTGTCGCCGGCCTGCGAGCAAACGATAGAGGTTAATCGAGCGCATTTTGCTGGGGCCCTCCGTCAGCGGGAACGCCCCATGTTATGACAAGATGAAAACTGATCCATGGGGTTAACGAATCCAGAGGAATGCCGAGAGTTCGCGGCGGCTGCAGTGACTCATCGGACAGCAAACGGGAGATGCCGGGTCGCGGCGATAAATTCAACGCGAACGTAATCACCTAACTGACTGACGTCATTAATTGAACCTAGGACCCTACATCCCTGCGACCTCGCCGAGTGCAACGCGCACGGATGTCGCATCTGCATATACGGAATCAGCGCGAGGAGAACCGCCTGAGATTTATGTCCGACTCCAGACATCTCTTGCACAGCTTCCAAGATGCAAACCTCGTATCCGAGGCGCCCCAAATTTACAAACTGTCTCCAAGAGACCATACCATCACTAGACCTCGATCACCATCCATGTAAACCCCAACGCATCGGTATAGAGTCTGGTCCAGCTTGCGAGCTATTAATCTCCCTACGTCTGCGGAATTGGTCCACGTGAGATATGTTCCTGGTGAACACACGTCTGCTCTGTGTACCTAGAAGTCACCTCCCCTGCCCAAATCCCACGTATCGTTGAGCTTTTCCACGATCTGGCTCTACCAGTTACCAGCAGATGAGCAGAGGAACGGTTCCCGGATGATCAGAGAGTAAAAATATCAAGAAACGATTACGCCCACGATAGTCTAGGTTTCTTGGTAGATGGTTTACAGAATCGCCGGTCTTCCGGGTGAGGAAGGTCGAAGGATACTTCGGAAACCCTGGAGATTCGATCTGTAATCCGGGTTCTCCAGGTTTGGGGCTGTTGTCGATTCCTTAGGGGGAACATGGAGTTCTTCAGGGCCTCCGCGAGGACGGGACCACCGGAGGGTCCAGGCTGCAAAATGTGGCAACGTCCCCGCGGAAACTGGGCCAGTTAAAAATACAATCGACGACACGTCCCGCCACTCGCAGAATCCCCTCGGACCCGAGAATACCTCGGTCTCTCCTCCCCCGCCATGCCGAAATAGCATCGAGGGTGCACTTTGTAGCGATTACCTAACCGGAGACGAGGACCACCTTCCTCTTCCTTCTCGGCGGTTCGAGGGAGCTTTCGACACGAGACTGACGGAAATAATAAGGCGGCCGTGACGTGGGGGACCATCGGGATCGTCGACATCATTTTCGGCTTCTATTTCCGCCCGGTCCAGCTGGGCCGAGCGGAGGCGCGAGAAATTGTGACACTGGTACCCTTTCAATTGCATAACGATTGGAGGCTTATTTTTACCGAGAGCCTAATTTTTTAACATCCGACGCCGATCCGACGAGCCCCAACAAAGGCACGAAATGGACGCTCTCAAATCCGTCGATGACGGCTCATATGGGTCCATCCGGATGCTGGATCTCAAAGAGGGAAAATCAGGAAATATTTGGAAAGCGTCAGGCTAAAAATGCCGAATAAATCGGGAGATAAGAAGCACCCGTGATGAATCCGTGCGTACGTTTCGCGGGCGATTACCTTGTCTCGGTACTTACCTGTCCGCTCTTCCGTTCCGGCGCGTTACCTTGCGACGTGACCGGGGCCCTATACGTGAGTTATTCCCAAGCGGCCGTTCAACGAGCCGTGTCTCCCGCGCCCTATCGCGTCACTTCCGTCCTAAGGAGTTGAACAAACTCCGCCGGCGATAGCTCGCCTGGTCCGCGCCTTCTTCTGCCTCTTCTTCTTCGCCTTCTTCGTCCCCGAGGCCGAAGAAGGTGATAGAAAAAAGGACTAGACAAGGAGCAGCTAACTTCCAGGGAGTGCGGAAACCAAGCCCGAGAACACCTTGAAAAATCCTAAAGAAACCCAAAAAAGCCAATCCAACATTTGGAATCCTCGATTTCCATGGAAATTCTTAAGAAGAAAGATGAACCGTCATTTCTTGTTTCCGCGGGAAATTTCCACAGACAGGTATTTTGAAGAAGATCAGGGGGAGGTGGCTTTTAAACGATCCTGCGAGAGCTGAACTCGTAATTAAGGGTCGAGTTTAGACGTTGGGGAGGATCCCGAAGAGCTGGTCGCGGGCTCAATTTCGGCGTGCGTTGACCTGTCCTCGAGGTTACCTCGGAGTTCTCTGGCTCGGTGAGGCCCTTCGGGGTCCTCTAGGCCCTCTCAGCCTTTTCGAGTGATTTACCGGAGCCCTTCAGGATCCCCCACTTTCCCTCGGGACCGCGTTCCGGCCCGGTCCCATATTTCTCGAGGGAGGAGCGCACCTACACGGGGAGATGAAATTGGGATTTACCGGCAAGACGATTCGGAGCGAGGATTTATCACCCACTGTATAATCATATTTTACAAATTCATTTGCGCTTTGGAATACCTTCGAACAGAAACGTTCGCCCTGAACCCCAAAAGCTAAGGGAAAAAAATAGAAAACTAATTTAACATATATCGCGTTTACAAGGCTCGGTAATCTGGGATTATGGATGTACTTGGCGCGAAACTCTAAGTCTGTCGATTCCAAGTGCGAACTTGCCGACCAATTCTTTTCTGGACTTCATTTCATTAATAATTCTTATCAATCCAGGATTTAATTCCTCTGATAATTAGTCCTACGGTCGTTTCGATGAAGCTGGAGTTGAGTCTGGGTTCACCAGCCCGTTAATTTCTCGGCTCGTCTCTTCTCCGAAGACGCGCTTCGGGACGTCGACCGCTATACGATCCGTAAATTAGCCGTAAATTAGCCGTAACTTCGCCTTAATTTGGGAGTTTCACGTCGGATGAGCGGCGATCATCGGACGAAAGTCGACTCTGCGGAGAAAACCGCGGATCGGACCAGGAGAGGGAGGACCAACGGATCGTTTCAGGCCCGAAACGGAACGCCGCGTGCGAGGTATATATTTCTGGCCGTGAGAAACCTGTCCCTCGGGAGCCCCGCCTGTTCCTACCCCTCGGGGGGGTATTCCCTCGGAAATTCGGGGTAACCCGAGAAATCGACGAAAGCAGGACGACGTTTCCTCGAATCCGAGGTTCCGGGTCAATCGGCGCTTTCGAAAGCCGCCGTTATAGGGAACCGCCGTATGAGCCCAACGGAGGAATTAACGACTCGTAGATGCGAGAGAAGTGGGCCGACTCGTCGCTTTGCATCTCGAAACGCAACTAACGATGAGAAGCGCCGCGATACATCATAAGTTGGATTAGAGGGGTCGAGTAAAATAAATATCCATCTTCCCTATTTTTAATAAAAAGAAGAGGAAAGGAATACGCGCGGTAGGTATTAAGGCGACAGGAAAGTGGCATCGGAAGAGTCAATGAAACTTTTCTCCCAATTGGGTGTACAGAATTGTTTTTTTTTTTTTTCTTCAGAATTTTACAATATGAATATGAGAGATGTAAGGAAGGTCCCGACACCCGTGAGATTTGATCTCCCTTTGGGAAATGTCTGGAAATAATTTTTACCAACCATTGACAATTATACGAGGTTCTTTAATAAATGGGTAGGTAAGGGGATACTAGCTGGGGAGAAGGGTAGAAGGTGAAGGCGGTCATTTGCCATGCAATCGTTATTTACCGTACTGCGCACAGTGGCAACGACTTGGGATGCAATAAATTTCCACCGCGAGATTTTATTTCTTCCAGGCGGGTAATTTCATAGAAATCCGGATTACGGGTACGGCCGAGAGGGATAGGCTTCGAACTTCCGCGTAGAAGTGGTGGCTGCTTTGCGTTTTTCCGCTGCGCGGAGGTTCCGCGGGTTTCCAGCACCGGCATCGTACTTTTCCGTGTCACTTCGCGTTAAGTGTAAGGATATAGTCATCGCGAGGTGGCTCGGTCTCGTCATGCTTTTCCTTGACTCTGCTAGCTGGCGTTCGTGCTCGCGAGAAATCCAAACGGACCTCTGGACAAAAAAAGGTCTGTTCCAAGTACTGGGGGTCCATGCGCGCATTAGTCACGTTCAACCGGTCTAGCCTTAACACAGTTGGCCGTTAATTTGTCCGCCGGACGTTTTGCGGTGAAATTTATCCGCACATTGGATTTTAATTCCGCGTCCCGGAGGTGGGACCAGCGATCGAAGGTGCAGAAATGACCGAAATACATCACCGAGCGGCCTCGATTCCCGAATACGGCGCTTTTCCTCGACGCGGCTTGCGCCACGCCGTCATCGTCCGGACCCGGAGATTAATAACGCCCGTTAATATCGGCGGTTCCGCAATACGAGAATCAACGTTCCCATCCAAGTGGCCGGACTTTCACCGAAAAATGCCGGGCCTTTCGCAACCTATCGCGGAAGCGGATTGTAGCCTCCGGCGAGCCCTCCTCTAGCCGTGGCACGATTCCCGGGACTCTTTCTCCTCGAGGACGTTGACGAAGTTCTGCGGAAAATTTCGCAAGCGGACCGATTTGCCGAGGCTGGCTTTTACGAGCAGCACGAATTCCAGGCTCGGGTTGGAGAACGTAGAGACGTCGGCTTCCACGGGCTGGAGAAGCGGTGCTCACCTGGTACCACTTGGTAGCACTTGGTAGCGTCTGGTATCCTTTGATATCCTTTGGTATCCTCTGGTCCCAGCTGGTACCCGTCTTCCTTGATACCCCTGGCACTCCCCTGCACCTATCGGTACCCAGTGGCAACCTTTGATATCCACTGGTACCCCTCCACCGCTTTTCCACCACCGCCTTAAGCGGCTTCTTCTGGTTCCAGCAGGTCTGCTCGTCCTGGTCCCGCGGCTGGTTTTTGCCGCGTTTCGAGCCGCGCGTGCAACTCGCGTGCTCGATATGTAGGCTCGTCATAAATTCCAATCGGCTTTCACGCGGCGACCGTTAATCACGATCTGTCGACGTAAATCCGTCCGAGTTACGAGTAGAAGAGGGGCCCGACGACTCGCGGCGCGATCCGCTCATGAGCGCTCTTCGTGGTTCTCCAAAGGTTTCCCGCAGGAACCCCGGAGGGTCGACCTTGATTGTCATCCGTGAGCCACGCGGTCTGACACTATGGCGGCGTCTCTTTCCAACCACAATCCGGTCCCGGCAAGAATGAGAGACCAGGTCCTGATCTACCCCAGCGAGCCACTGCTCCGGTTACCCAATGAACGATTAAAAATTCGGCTCAATTTATCAAGAATTTTTTTTTCTCAATTTTTTTACTGATCAAGATCCTGACGTTTTCCTCCAAGCCAAACTGCAGTCAATCCTTTATATATCCATCGTGAAGAATCGTCCCAATTTTCCATGGTTTTCCCCATTCATCCCGTGGTCGTTCTCCAGGTGGTTTCCTGCTGGTTCCGACCTTGATTGTCGTCGAGGTGCCACGCTGTCTGGCACCGCACGGTGCCATCTCTCTCCGACCGCGATCCGGTCTGCGGTGAAATCATTTCCGATCTCTCTCCTCCTCTCTGGAGCATTCCCTGGGGGCCATTCCGCGACCAATCGGAAGGCGCCACTCGGACTCGATCGGAAGGAAAGATCGTCGAGTCGAAAGTGGTGCGACACTCCTCTCCGACGAGTGATCGCTTCGGCAACACCCCGGGAGTTATCGTACCCAGGATCGATCGCACCTAATATTTAAATATGAAAAAGAGCAACGAGGCAAGGTTGCCCTTTTCTTCGTGCATCCATATCGAGAGGATGCTTTCGCTCCTCCATTACCAGGATCGTTCCCCGACCGAGGCCGTTGTCGCCGGGCACCGACATCATCTAGAAGAGATCCTGCACCCAGGAACTCGGCGATCGTTATAACGGGACGAGACGACGGAGCCGGGTGCAAGTGGCGTCTTTCCGATCGCTAACGATCGGCCTGCACTTCCGGGCGTAGATTATAACCAGGATCTCGCGCCGACGCCCAGTCATACGCGCCCCTGGTCGGTCTTCAGGGTCCTCTTCGAGTTCTGCGAGTTTCTTCGAGATCGGAACGCTCCTTCTCTCGCATTTGCATAGGCGAAACGATCGCGCGAGCGAACGAGGTGGAAGCCATCAGGGGCCGGCGATCGGCGATCGAACGATCGACGGATCGGCCGATGATCGATCGCGCTCTCGCTCGCCGGAGACCATCTCCGGCCGGACCGCCGCGGAACGGCCGCTCGATAGAGGCGCGAACGACAGCCGCGGCATTCCGCCGATCGCCGCGAAACCGGTCGCCATAAATTCGCAGGACGAACGGCAAGTGCCGAGGAGCCTATTTCGCGGTTCCACGATGAACCGGTATCCCCTTCGTCCTGCAGCCTAACTTTTTCTCATAAAAAAAAAAATAAAAAAAAATGAAATAAAATAAAACTGCTAAAAAACACTTTATAGATAAGAACTTTCAATTTGCGAAAAAAAAGCGTACTAAAAAAATCCAGTAGAAATTAAGCCCTTGCAATGAAGAGGTGTAATCCTTGGTTATCGAAAAAAAAAAAAAAGAAAAAAGAAAGATTATCAATTATTCTAAGTACCTCATTGGGATATTTCCCTTTAATCTCCGCCGTGCTTTGATTTTAAAATACTTCCTTTTTTAATATCTGATAATATTCAACTAGGAATAGTGAGAATTTGGGCATGTTTTTTTTTTCTTTTCTTCGTTCCTTACATCAGGTCCAGAAAGGAGTAAAATCGATGTCGAGACGCGTCTCGGTGCGTGCACGCACCTCGAGGCGCGTACTCGCGAGGAGGGGGCATACCTCGAGTACACTCCCGTACGTGCAACGCACGTCCGACGCGATTGGTCGCGTGTAAGTGCACTTGTGCCCACTTACGCACTCGCACGCGGCCTAGAGGTCGTCATGTGTGAGTGCGCGTACTCGCATGTGCGTACCTACATGCAGCTGCTCGAAACCGTGCCGCGCAGTCTGCCGCTCTCCCCTATTACGTGCGTCCAACCAGTTTCCAGGTTTTACGCACGACAGGGCCGCCGCGGATGCGTAATTACGCGTGCCGGCCGCACCGCCGGCCGCGGTGGAAACGCACCGAACTCGCCGCCGAGCGGCGCCCTTTGAAAGGCCGATCGCTTCCCTGGAAAGCCGATATCTCGTATGCGTAGCGATTTGCTAAAAATCCTAAAATGATAAAAATCCCGGAATTTTCCTCGGGGGTAATTACCCGTAACCCTGAGAAAAAAAAATGTCATTGAATAAAAAAAAATGAATATTTTGTTAATTCACAGAATTTCACTCAAGTGGAAATAAATTGCATGTGACGTTTCTTTGGAACTGTGGCACCTTATTTCAGCGAGTTCTTTGAATTAAAAACATATATCTTCGGTTAAGTGAATTTTTTTTTGTTGGTCTTGGTGCAGAAAAATTACAAATTTTATGTATGTTCTAGGAGTAAATAGAGTTTATTATAAATAGTCCTCGGTTTCAAGGCTGACGTCGCCCCGATGTGAAACGAATAAATGGTTGGAAGGGTCCGGAAAAAAATTAGGGGGATCGAGCAGATGTTCAAGTACTCGATGAAGAGAATGTGGAAAATAATCTCGAGGATTATTTATCGAAGGGGGTTCGTACTTAGCGATGCGGGACTGCCCATTCGCACCGGCGGTCGAGGAAAAAGGCCTTAATGAACACGCTTCCAGACCATCAAGGATAACGAGCGGAAGTAACGACGGTAACGAGGAGGCCTGCCGATCGAGGAGGCGTATCTTCGATCGGGCACTTATTGGCTTTCGATTTTTGCCCGAGCTCATCTCGAGCAGGCCCGTAATTGCGGCGAATTTCGCCGGTCCCTCTTTCAATTTCGTGCCGACCGATCGATCGTTCGGAATCGTAAGGAAAGTACCGATCGATCGGTTTTCGGAGAGTGAAAGGCAGAAGAGGAAAGGACGATCTCCCGAGGAAGATCGAAAGTTGCCGAGGAATCGTAATTGAAATCCGCGATTCTTTTCACCCGCTCCTCTTCCTCCTTTCCTCTTTCCAAGCGCCGAGCCCCCAGAGCGTCGCGGATTATCATCCGACTATTAGCCGATTATTATTCCTCGGCGATCGCGCGGATATTTATTTCCGGTGAGAGCGACGCGGTTCGGCCGCTCGCGCGGATGCGTGCACGTGCGGAATGCAAGCTACCACAAGGGGACCCCGTATGGGCATGAAAGTACCGAGATCTCCCGACGATCCGACAAACGGGCGCAGACTTTCAGGGCGACCTGGTCGGTACCAAAATGGCAGAAAACGCGAAACTATGAGAATTCGGGAGAATTCAAATTAAAAAAAAAATAATTACCCTTCTCGGTGAAACCGCTCCAACTTCACCCCTCAAACCCGTAACGCCCTAAGGACGTCATGCCGCAGCGTCCCATGTAACATGGAACGATTGGCGAAATTTATCCCCACCGTAAAAATGGGGAAAAAATATAAATACGCAAATGGAGCACCTACCCGTGGAGAATTGACTTCCGCTTACCCAGAGCCGACATCAAAGAGCGATCCTCGCGGATATTTCCCCCCCTACGATCAAATTTATCCCCCGGGCCCCATAAAACTAGGCGTCCCCGTATTTTTCATTTTCCTCCCGTGGCGGAAAAATCCCAACACTCCGCTTAGGTTCTCGCCTAAGCGTGTACCGTAATCCCTGGGTGTAACGCCTTTGAGCGGCCGTGTGAGTAAGAGCATATAAAACTGGATATAGCGTTGCCATAAATATCCGAATGGCGTGTGGGGAACGATCGTAGCTTAGTCGCTGTCGCTTTCGATGGCTCATTTTAACGCGAGCGCAGTTACTTTCGGCGCACCGGACTTTACGCGACATACTCCCGATCGCTAGGTTCCTACCGATCCTGCCCATAAATAAATACCGCCATATCCACTTCTCATCTCACTCTAGGTATTTCTGTGTACACACACCGGCGTGTCCGATAATGTCCGGGATTTTTCCCGGCTCGCGACTGCAGCGGCCTTTCAGGTTATGATCTGGAAGGGATGAGAAATTGAATAAATTCCGATGGAATTATTCATTATGAGGAAACGTATCGAAGGGAGGAATATAGCACGGGGAGATGTGGGGCGATTTTTCAGATTTTTCGAAAATTAATCGGTTCCCATTTACTCGTTGTCGGCTCTCCGGTTAAGGCCTTTCCTACCCCGGTCACGCGTCGGAAGTTAATTGCGATTCCGAGCATCCCTTCGACACGATGGAAAAAAGAAAAAGGGAAAAAGAAGAAAATATCGCGCGTAAGGGCGACACTAGTCACTCGTCGCATTGCAATGACCGAACCCGCAAACGAGCCGTAAGAATTAAACGTTTATTCACCTCGACCGTCACGTACCGTGCAGGGTACGTCCGTAGCATGGAAAGCTGCTCATCCCGCGGGATCTGCCGGAGATCTCGAAAGGGACATCAAGGCACGAGGTCCCCCAGGATGGGGAATTTCTAAAGGAATTCGTCCTTGTCACGGCCCCGAGAATTTCTCAGAATGTCTCAGGCAGTCAACCCTCGCGCCCATTTATTTTACCATTTCTCCATTTTCGGTCCGTCCAGGGGATCGACTTTGCATCCCTTTTTTTCCTGGTCCCTTTTTCGACTCCGACTAATCGTGCATCTTCGAGTGGTCCCAAGTCTCTTTCCACCCCCTAGAGCGTTCCACCCCCCACGGGATTCTCAGACCCTTAAACTTGATATCCTTAGAGAAAGAAATCCAGTTCCAAAAGTCTAATAGTTCTAAGATTTTCAAGCAATGATAAAAATTCGCATGTCGTTGGTTTAAATGGAGTCTATATGTATTTTCCGACTTTAGGGGGGCTCTGAACTGTCTTTCTCCGGTTTTCTACCCCCATTTTATAATCGCCTTGCTTTCTTTTGGCCACGGGGCTAGAAAGCTCTCGAGGAATCCCAGGAAGGTTCCCCACGGTGCTCGCGGGAATTGTATCTCTGCAGCCTCCGGAAAAATCGGACTCGTGCGGCCAAGGGCTGAGAACGACCGAGTTCCCACGAGGGAATGCACCGAGGAGATGCAACACGTATCTTCGGAGCAAAGGAGATGGATGCACTTACGCTCTTGCCATGGCTGGTGCCGTGATGCGTGTCCAGCTTCATGTTGGCGCAGCGGTTGAGCGTCTTCAACCTCCGATAGAGACTGTCCAGGGCTGCGTCCTCCAAGGAAGGATGGTCCTGCGCGACGCAGGACACGTCTATCGTGAACTGGTAGTCTGGAAGGCAAAAAGGACCAATCTGAGCCACTGGCGATGCGCGTTAACCCAAAGACTCCGCACCGATACGGTTACCCTCCGATCTTAGCCGAGAGGTAAATAAATTCTAATTAAATAAGAAAATAAATTTTCGATCATAACTGATATTTCATAAGTTTCAGGACCTACTTTAGTGCCTCCATATCCACGTGGTAAAATTTGAAATTAATTGCTACACCCAATTCGGGAAATACTTTCCCCTACGATTTGACTTCTCTTTCGTATCGCCTTAAGGTATTAGGAATGAAATTATAATTTCCCGATAATTAGAATTCACTAATGCGCTGTGAAGGGAAAATCTCGGATTCGGCCCATGCGCGCCGCCACCGCCCGGCGGCAGTCGCGGGAACTGCGACTTGTCGCGGACTCGCGACTTTGCTCGCTCGACAAAAGACCGCGACTCCGTCGCGCGTACTGGAGGAACAAAGAAAGCCTCCTCCTCCGAGTCTCCAGGTTCGCGTGCGTTTCCATTCTTCGCGTCTCGCTCGTGCTCTTTGCGGCCTTCACGGCCGACCGGCTCTCTTTTCTTTGGAGTTCTCGGCGAGGCCGAGGCCTCCCCTTTTCTCGGCTTCCCTGCCCTTCGCCTCGTGCGTTCTTAACGACCTACCTCCACCTATCCATACGAGATGGCGCGCGTGCAACACGCATAATGCGTGAGCGAGTACCGAGCCACGGTCTCGGTACCCTCGATTTTCGATCCGATACCTCGTACACTGGGAAAAAAATTAAATTTAACCAAAAGGATATTTTGCAAATTTGAAGAATAGTCGGACTCGAATAAACTCAAATTGGATGCAACGTCTCTTCGAAATGTGCTCAATATAAATATGGGAATAAAAATGCCAAAACCAATATTAAATAACAGAAAATATTGAAAAACCGTGGACATTTTTTCGAATGAAAATATAAAAAATTTAATTTCATCGTCGTAATTATTTATGCAATTGAGGGACCTCAGTCGGGTGCTTGTGTAGAGGTACAGCGAAAATGTAGGGATCCGTGCCGATCCTGAATCGATCCCTGTCGTGTACCTACGCGCCTCTGGAGCACCGAGAGTCACGTAGGGTCAGGGTATGTACTTGGAGTACCGAGGTTCGAAATTCAGGGTCGATCTTCGTGTCCGACAGCGCGAACCGGCGACCCAGATCGCCGTCGGTCCCGGTCAGGATCTGAGATCTGTATCCGATCGGAGGCTGCGATCGCTCGATCGGCCGCGAAGGGGGTCGATCGGGCCGATAATCGTGCAAATATTTACACGATCGCCGCCGGTAATAACCGCGCTGCCGACTGTCGGCCACCTCGGCGGAATCGGCGCAATTTCCGCCTACCGACACGAGCATCCTTATACCGAGGAGCATCCTCCGGATAATCGCCCCCGCGATCTGCATAGTCGAGTAACGTCCGCTCGGGCATTTTCTCAGGATGCACCGGACGCGATGCACCCGGACCGGGGAGTTGGATTTATCATCGGTACCCTACACGGGGGATATTAATTTTTAGAGTACCCAGTCAAGGGGATTCGTCGGTTTCCTCGACTCCAGGAGGCGGAGAGATCCTGGGAGAAATACAGGAATAATTAAAGAGCGCCTCGCGTTACACCTCGGGGATCCTGGAGTAACGCAATTTGTCCCAGCCCACGCATCGCTCGCGGTACTGGGTGGCTACTTTTATAAATAAACCAGATCCTAATCGCCGATCGAAAAAGGCTCGCCGAAGACAAATAATCTGCGAACATAGCACGCGACCCTATCTAAGGCGCGGTACACCGTGTAAGCTGGTACTTAGCCTGGCACATGCGTAGGTGTGCACTTACTTACAGGCGTACTCGCACTTACTCGCGGTTGCGTGCACCGGGAGGAACGCAAATGAGAGCTTTGGGCGACGTGCGAGATGGGGCCGTTAATACGCGACCCGACGCATATGACCGTAGGTGCATCCAGCTACCGCTCCCGGAGTGCATCTCTTAATAAGAAACCCTCGGTAGGAAAAGGTATGAAAATGCAATCCTTCGCCGGGAAATTGGCCCCGGGGGGGATTTAAAAGTCGATATCTTGTTTTCTATAAATTCCTCGAGTGCACTTTGCATTGTGGGCGGGCTGCATTACCGACGCGAGGAGATTGCGTTGCACTCGATGGCTGGCCGCGTGAATTATACGTTTCCACTTTTTTTAATCCCTTTTCATGGGCCTCGCATTTGCTGCAATCATCCGCGCTATTTTTGGGTAGGTCCCGTTGCAACAGCAACGATCTTCCCGTAAATCACGATGCACGGACGCGAGCTGGTACAGTGCATCCATTGTAAAGGATCAATCGGGGCTATCGATATATCGATTATTTTTGCAACATATCCCTTCCATCGACTGTCCTCGAGATCAATTGGGCCAATTAGTCCCCGGGTCTCCAGTGGATGTTCGGCTGCAGTTTGCGCCATTCATGCTCGCGTGCACTCCAATTCCGCATGTCAACAAATGCATCTAAATCGGTGCAATTTTAATATTAATTCTTCTTCATTAAGGAAAAAAAAAAGAAAAATTGCTTCCGATAAATTCGAATTTAAGACCGTTGGTATCGGGTGAACGAATAAGTGTCTCGAATCTGCTGGAAATTCGAGTCTCGATGCACGTGCGATGCACTCGGCGAATTGCATCCGTGGGCCCCGATTCCCATCCCAGAGCAATTTCATTTGTAATACAGATTAAGAGTTTCTTTTTTTCTTTTTTTTATCGAAGGCTGCTTTCGAGTCACGGGATGCAACGTTGATAGATCGTTGCCACGCTGCAGTTGCAGCTGCAGTTGCACTCCAAATCGAAGGCTTCCCTCTTTCGGCATTCTGGGTCGTTATTCCAGAATCGCCGGTCAGACCAGCTGCATCGCCGATCGGCAATGCAGTTGGTTTGTGCAAGACCCGCTGCATCGCCGATCGGCAATGCAGTTGGTTTGTGTAAGACCCGCTGCAACGACCGATGCAGCGTTGAGTCACTCTCGAGAGCTCTCCGACTGTTGATTTTCGGGGAGCATTCGGTGCACTTAATTCCCCGATTTCCGAAATTTATCGGCAGCGCCGCAATAATCGTTGACCCAATTTTTTCTCAGGTTGAACCTGCAAAAATGCACCTACTTCGCCGAGAATGGTAATGACTCTGGAGAACTCGTCGACAGGTTTTCCGGTAATGATATGCAGATTCGCATTAAACCAAAAAAATATATAATTAAACAATGAGATATTAGAGAATAATTTCAGAAATTAGTCTACTACATCCGGCGATTATTCCTGGAAGCTGTTTGCCAAGGGTCGAGGGCCTCGGTAGGAAATTTAAATACCAAATGCACAGGAATAAATGCGATATCGAGGATGACATCGTGTTATCAGTGACGTCGCTAAATTCACCGATTGGGAAATAATTAGCGGACCGATTCGGTTAAGCCGGCGCTGCCGATTAAACGATACGCGGCCAATCACGTCCATCTGGCGAAAGGTGAGCAACTCCGAATAATGACGGCACTTATCATGTAATCATCCGCAATCAAGCGTTTACACGTGACGCTGATTAACGCCGGATTTATACCCCGTGTTTTGATGGATGATTCTTGCGTCGCGACGAGACCTCGCCTTGACACCGGCTCGACTGATTCGAGACCTTTGCCATCGGATCGCGGAAAGATCCGCAACAGACGATAACGACAGGCGCCACTTATCAGTGACGCACCCGTAAGATCGATCGATTTCCCTAAATATCGATCACCCTAACTCTAAAAAAAAAAAGTCGTTTCCTCAACCCTCTCCGAATTTTCCATTTTTCCCAGCTGAAATAAGGTCCAGTCAAGATAAATAAAAAAGAGAAAAGAAATTCCGCCAAGCCGAAGCGAAGACGAAAAAAAATATCGTCAGACCGAACCGTGACGCATAACGTAGGACCCAGCTAGATCCTTGTCGAAAGATGTCATTCGGGAGAAAAAAAGAAAACGAAGAAACACGAAGAGGACGCCGCGAGTGACGTCCAGGCCGCGCGCATGCGTAATGCCCGAAACCAAAGAGTACCAGGAAGAGTTACGTCCACGGAATGACAATGGGGTCCCGTATGACCAAGAACGGATCTCCATATCGTTATTAGCCGTCTTTTGGCAGACTCTTCGTGCGTCACCGCCGACTTACGTAATCTCTTATCACGAGGCGGCATTGACACCTGCGAGCCTGTCCTCGTTGCGTCACGATTACCACGCACTATCGATTCGTGTTCAGGACTACAGGGGGTATGCCGTAAACTTGCATCACGAGGGAATGCGAGTAACTCTATTGACATTAGTTAAAAGGAGCAAAGATTCGGCGATAAACCGAGCTAGAATATGTGGCAGCGATTACGATCCCGCGTTTGCTCGAGATACGACCGGCATAAATTCCCCCGAAAGTGGGGCAGGTGTAAAAGAATGTCAAGGTAGATCTCATCTGGATACCCGAGGCACGAGGCGAAACGGATTTTCTACGGCGCGAGAGATGTAAATATCCTTTTTTGTCCCTTTTTTTCTGGAATTAATCGTGCCTTGATTAGGGATAAGTGGTCGTAGAATGGGAGAAGGGGGACGGGTGATCGTTTTCAGACTCATTCGATGGGACACCGGATCCCTGGCGGGCCTCCTCCGTGACTCTAGCCTCGAAGGACGGTCATACGTCGGCGTCGCCCTTTTTCTTTTTCCTCCGGCGGGAATCTAATTACACCCACGCCGATTACGCCTAGTATCGCTTTACGGAGGGATGACTTCATTCCTACTATTGCGTCTCCGATCTAATTGTCGGGATTTATTCGCGCTTTGGTGCCCACGTGGATGCGCGCGCACACCTCGATGTGCGCCCAGGAAGCGTCTAAATACACGTGCACACCCACGCCGCTGCCTTGGCGGCGCTTATTTAACGCGTCGAGCTGTCGACGACGGCTTATCTCGGGAAAAATTCATCGGAGGCGACT